AGCGATGATTGGAACATAAAGTCAGTAGGAATGAAGGCCCTCACTTCGGAGCTGGCTTCGGTTGGAGCATCTCGGCTCCCTGGTTGGGCTCCGAAAGACGATGAACACGTTTGTTTGGATACACTTGATGACATGGCTGGGAGCCGACCTCAGCGGCGTTCGTGCTGTGAGTTTCTTTGTCCCACCCCATTCCTCTTAGCCTCCCCCTCCAACCACGATCTCACTATTTAGCTTTGTATAATTTTGCACAGTAATTTTTTGTTGTTGCATAGTAGCCGGCAGGTAGCTCACCGGAACGATGCTCATCCGTTGCCGGTAACTTGCACCTGTTGCATTTTTTCTCTCCTTTTTTCTTCTATGTATTGCGGCACAATAGCTGAGGTGTTTCCCACCTCTGACTAACGTGTGTAATGATCATGAGAGTCAGTATCCTGTCTCCATTGTCTGATCAACTGCTACCGAGGCCAAAACTACTCCCAAGATGTTGCTTGCTTATTGAAAAACGGCCCACTCTTGCGTCAACATCTTCGGCATGAATGACAATATCAGTTTTTGGAGGAACGCAGGTCATGTAGTTATAGGTGAAAGCAACTCTTGATTGCATCTGTGCTGCAGTCCGTTGGAGCATAGGCAGAGACGACAAATAAGGCACGCTTGTTATGTGGACGCTTACTAAACTTACATAAACCTCGTAGTTGGACTGCGCATAGCTGGACTTTTGACTGGGATCCAGTCAAGCAAGGCGGCGTCGGTCTTGTTTTGATGGAACCCCGACACCAATGTGGCCAGAAGTGGTGGCCTCTGGGTCCCCAGAAAGGCACAAGCGGTATTTGACGTCAGGGTTTGCCGAAGAGGTCATTATGATGACAGAAGTGGAGTATTGCAATCTAGTTTCCGAGATGCAACAGATGTCTACCGAGGGTGACTCAATGGTACAGGTCAGGCATGCTTACCGTCCGGTCTGCACCAGATTGCGAACAATGAGTGCTGTGAGGACGAATGGAAAACCTGGTCAAAGAAAAGCTGGAGTCTCTGCGAAGTCTGAGAAAGGTGTGACCACCGGGTATTGAACACCAAGGGTGTGACTTACTTCCATCAGATGCAACCAGTGAGATGTTGTTGGTGGTGACCGGGGAGGACATAAGTGTAGGCGAAGAACGGGATGTGGGACGATCTGCGAGTGAAGGTAAAGCAGTGAGGTTAGATTAGCCAAGGGACATAGAGAGAGAGAGAGCGAAAGCAGTAATATTATCCATTCATGATTAGTCAGTGAGCATGATACTGCCCAGTTGCTCATGTCAAAGTAGAGGGCTGTCTTGGGAGTCGCTGCCCCGAGCCTTTGACCAAGCATTTAACTTACAAGGTAGCATGGCGATATGAGGGCGTTGCAACTCGTTTGTAGCCGTTGACCAAATAAGTGGTTCATACGCCTTTAGGTCTTACAAAGGACCAGTAGCCCAACGCATCTCTGAATTAAGATGCCACCCTGAAAGAAGCGAGGGGCAAGGACTTTATTTAGTGGCGAGTCACATGCGTCGTGTCACAGTGTTGTTCAACAGACACAAATGCTATTTTATGTGGCGAAAACTCACCACGTCTTGGAACACGGCCACTCGCTGGAGCGGGATTATCCCGAACCACCCAGCTGGCACCGCGAGGAAGTTGTTGGGTAAGCCAAATTGTCTGGAGTCTGATCATGTATTGATTCGTGTCAAGGTTTGCATGCGCTTCGGAGGATTATCCAGGCGTGCACACTATCGGCCGAATGTCAAATATCTACAAACTTGTACGACGTTAGCTGAGTACCCGGCCTCTGTCAACTCTGCTTGGCTCATCTTCTACGATGATCTGAATCCACAATAGGTGCGCATTAACGACGCATTAATTTTTGTCAGTATTAACCAATGTGGAGTTACCTGTCACTTGCCGAAAAACGGGAGCACCGAGGTCTTCTTGTCGCTGATGAACAGACGCCGCTCTGTTCGTCCGATGCCATCCATAGTGAAGAATGCCGATCCCTGGATTGATAATTGCGCTCGAGTTCCCAAAAGGATTCTAAAGCCTGGTGGTGTGAATCTGCTAGAGAAATTTGAACTTAGCAGTCTCTCTGGTAGTAGCAGAAATTTCTTCCATCCCATCCGAGCCACCGAAGGTATCCCATCTGGTGTAAGCGAAAAATCGGCTAAGAGGATGGCTTACTGATCTTCAACGACGGTTGGAATCATGGACTGACCGTTTTGGCTCGCAGTTTCGCAGGCTGCCTACTCCATCTGTTTCCTATGGGGCGTGCAATGGTGCTGAATGGTCTGTCTCCGCTAATCCTCCCTCTCACCAGGAAATCCGGCAGGTACTCCGCCGCATGAAGCGTTATAAAGTACCCAGCCCTGATTGTTTACCTCCTGCTTTATTTGAAGACGTGAGTTCTTCGTTGGTTCGATAACTCACCGCTTTGTTCTCAGTTTGGTAAAAGGAAGAGATTCCATCCTGTTGGGGTGTGTTGGTAATCGTCCTTATCTTCTCAATGGGCCTGCTCCAACTACAGGGGCATACATTCGATTCCCATCGTTTGCAAAGTTCTGGTGTCCATCATACTTCGCATGCTATCCACAGCGCGCGATTCGCTACATCAAGAAGTGCTGGCTGTGTTCCGCTCTAGTTGCGTCTACATCGGTCAAATTTTCACCCTGCCAGATCCTGGAGCTCCGTCACATGTACCAAAAGCCAACGATTCTTATGTTCCTGGATATCCGTGCTGCCTTCGATTCTCTCGGTGCTGTTTGTTGAATACCGCCATCCCAGGAAAAGCCATTACTTTACTGCGTACTCTATAATCTGACGTCGGGTAGAGCTAGGGCTTTTAACAAACTTCCACCTTCCTTTATTGTCACAAGTGGGGTTCGAGAAGGATATCCTATCTCCCCATTCCTCTTCAACTTTGCTGTTGGAGAGATCCTTAAAAATGCTCTAGAAGACTCGTTTAACGCTAACGTTGAGCTACTCCTAACTAGTTGAGTAGGGGACTTGGACTACGCTGATGACACTCTCTTGCTGCATGACAATTCACAGGCCGTTCAGCTTGCAATTAACCTCTTAGTGATTGAAGCGTTGAAAGATGGCGCGCACTTTCCCCCATCCAAGTGTAAAGCATTTTTTAGGACTGACAGCTACCTGTACCTACACTCACTCTTGGTTATGAGACATTGGAGATGGTAGATAGTTTTATCTACCTGGGAAGTTACATCACTGCTGATGGAACTGTCGGAGATGAGATTGTGATGCGTATCTCAAGAGTTCGTCTCTCTTTCTCCAGACTGAGGCACGTGGCGCTGCCATACCACCCGTCTCACCATCAAACTGCTGGTTTATTGTTCGAGTGTCCGCGCTTTATTGTTATACGGTTGCGAGACCTGAGCTATTCGTAACGCTGACCTGCGGCGGCTGTTTGTCTTCGAGCACCGTTGCTTGCGGTCCATTGCTCTTGTTTGGTGGCTGCACCACTTAACCAATGCAGAAAATCAGACATCGCGTTTTTGGTGGGGCAGCTATTCGCTCGAGGAGCTCGTCTCGCTTCGTCAATTGCGGTGGCTTGGATACGTGTTGCGCATGCCCGTTCATCGTTGTTCGCCATTGCTGGACCGGACTGGAGGAAACGGCGCCGTGAACAACCTACGAATTGGAGATGGAGCAACAAAATGCTAACGAAGCAGTTGTTCCTGACTCCCTGGTTTGGATTTTATAGTGTCGCTGGTTGGAGACCATGGAAGTCATGGTTCAAAACCAATACTGGTGTCGATCATGTGTCTCTGCTTGTTGCGGTGATTCCCTTTCCGTCCCCCTGATAGAGATGACTGCCAAAGCAGCTCAAAAGTCGTGAGTTGGGAGCTGGACAAAAAGTTGCCTGTTTTCGCTTCTTCTTGCTCCGATCCCGTTTTTCTTTCCCGCCCTGACTCCGATGGCAGGAAATCTGTACGCAGGTTGTGATCTATATGTAATATGTAGTCAGATGGAGTTAGAACGAATGGCACGGCACCCGGTTCCGTGGTGGTACTTTACACTTCTACTGTGTAAGCCAGATGTCGAAGCGTACGGAGCCACGCATCAATCTAGTTCATAACACTCATACAGAGGTTAGCTTTCCGTTTTATGGGTTGTTGGAATCTTGTCGGGGCGAAAGTGCGTGACCATTGTCTCCTTTGTCACTGTGAAAGTCATTCTGTGCCTGGGGACACAACTCGGAGTTTTTGACTCAATAGATCGACCCACAATGGAATGGGGGTGTAATTTCAAGATCTGATCATCGTCTTCTGCTTGAGGCTTCACACATGTATCCTTTGCACTTTCCGGAACGACGCACGTTTATTTTCGACATGGTCACGGGATTCGCTTTTGTGCACAATCAGCGGCGTGTGGAATTTGGCAGATTTACACATTAGCCAGGAGCTGTGTGGCCTCTCTGGTACGAGTTGCTCTGAGTGCACTTGGAGAGTTCCATCCAGCGTTGTTCAACGCATCACAGAGGTACGCTAACCGTCGTATCAGGTCCAGAATTGTCACTATGGCTCTACTTATTAGGACATCTCGCGTTCCTTAAGGTATTCGTCATCTCTTTCGTTACTTATATTCTAGTGCATGCGTTTGTTTATAGATCGTATCCATTTCTTCATTTTCGTCACTTGGATTCTACCCCGGATCTCGATGCTAATCGGAAACTCGCCCCAGTCTCGTGAGCGTAATGTAGTCAGGCTTTTTCCTGGTTATTCAAACAGGCAAGACACTGGAGTGCTTTTTGGTGATGATCATGCTTTATCTCAAAATCAGAACATGCCTTCATCCACCTGATCGATCAGCCATCTTAACCACGTTTTCAGGCACTCCTGCTCCTTGCTTTATTCAATAACACCCACACTGGTAGGATGTCATTGCTCCAGTCCCCATGTACAATCTGTCATTCGGTATCATCCATGCCATTTTCTATTTTCCCTATCCCCCATTTTCTCCAGACTGTGCTACCTTGGTCCATTGTGCAACATTCGGGCACCGAACGGACCTCTTTTACCGTGCGCTCCTTGCGGAAGCGTTCTGTTTGTTGGGCCGAACGCACTTGTGAACAAGAGAGCTTGGATTCCAACAGCATTGTGCTGGATTTGCGAAGTGAGTTGCATTCGCGTATCTACGCTGCAGTTACAACTTGTTTTTAAGTCATTACTCGTTGAACCGAAGTTCTGGATTCGCACTAGTTTTTGTCCCCTTGAATGACATCCCTTGGTAGTCTGCAGTTTCCAACTGAAATCCCATACGCCAGGCGACTCCATTGGCCACATAGCCATACGTAAATGATGCGGCAACGCCACGCCGATTCGATTTCTGTCAGACGACCTTACTGGGATGAAAAATCCGGCTACTCACAAGTTACAGAGAAGCGTTAAATCGCTCTACGACTGACGACGACAGGATGGCTAATGTTTGGTGTTTATCGTTTGCATCACCATGTGTAAGCAACTCACACATTTATTTTAATTTTTCGTTTATGGTTGTAGGTATCGTTTAGTACTTCCAAGCTCATTCGACTAAACTGTGTTTCCGGCATACCTGGCAGACTAGCTACTGAATATGTGTCTATACTTGCTCACATGAGTGTGTCCATCGCGATGAGACTGGAATTTAACGTAGTGCGATGGTTTATGTACCGCCTCAGTGATACACTGAACTATACTGGGTGATGGTGCTCTTTACACCTTCAGAGCTACCCATACCAGATTGGTCAATGGTTAGAGGCCAGACGAACTTATTCTCCTGGTTGGGGTTACAGTAAGGGTGGCTCCTTACTCCATACAACGGACTCTTCGGAGCCCAGTGCCAAAACCCCGCTACCTTGTGGTAAGGTTTTTGAACCAAAGGCTTTGGTTGAAAATCCTAATTGTTCTGTTTAGACCTAGACAATCTGACAGTATCGTGCCCACGCAATACAACGCAATGACTTCACTTCAAACAATCTCTTGATACTCTGGCCGTCGCAGTGAATAATCAACGGCACTCTGTCTATTGCATCGAACAGCTTGGATAGGGGTATGGATGCTACTGCTCAGGGCTTTCCGTCTTCTTATTCCCCCTCTTACGCTTTTTCATCTTTAACTTCCCCCTCTAACTTCACTTTTATCCCCATTGTTTTCAACCCTCCATTTTTTAACCCTCACCCATCTTCCTTCAATAGTCGCTTGTCTTCTAGTTTCAACTCACAGAGTCGCAGGGCGTCGCTCTAATCCAATCGACAAGCCCATGTTCAACCAAGCGAACAACGTCAGTTCATCCTTTTCCTTTTGGTGTGCTCGATCCTCTCTTAGATTGGCAGGCCACTATGTGCGCACTTTGTCACTCATTGGCCAACAGGCAGCACTTGCCCGAACACTCGAGCCCCTATTGATCGATATTTGCTGTTTATCGGAAACCCGCTTGCAAGATTCGAACTCCGCGCTTATCCTGCGATCCCCCACATGCGACACTGGCGCCACATTCTCATTGCGTTTGTCTGGCGGCGATGCAGCTTCAAATGTCAGCCAAACTGGCATCGACATTGTTTTGAGTCCACGGGCTGAAGCTGCCCTGATCGATTTTATCCCAATCAACAGTCGGATGTGCGTCGTTAGACTAGCTGGTTCCTTCCATGCTACGAAGTCCCGCGGGAACAACCGGCGCCTGTTTGTCATTGTGGCTTACGCCCCCACAAACTGCAACCCTGCTTCGGTGAAAGGTGATTTCTGTCACCAAATTAAAGATCTACGGTACAGTAGTAGATCAGATACTGTGGTGCCTACTGGTGATCTAAACGCCCAACTCGGAGAATTGTCCTCTGATGAGCTTCATCTGGGCGGCCAACATAGTGTGGGCTGCCGTAATGATAACGGTGAGCGGTTGCTACACCTGTGTGAAGATGCTCGTCTTTTTCTCATAACCACTAACTTTCGACACAGCACCCGCAGAAGAGTGACTTGGCGCCTCGTACCAGCAATGGACGCAAATCAATCAGATTGCGATTAATTACCGCTGGAGAGGCTGTGTCCAAAACCTTAGCTCGATTTGGAGCACGAGCCTGGACTCTGATCACGCCCTTGTGTGTACTTACCTATGGGTGCGTTTCTGCGGACGTACGCGACGTCGCTGTGCGCGCATAGACACCAGCCAACTGGCGAAGCCAGGTGTTTCGAATGCGTATCAATGTACGCTGGTATCCGCGCTGAGGAAGCGCCTGTTGTACACCGTTGAAGATCACTAGTTAGATATTCGTCAAATGCTGCCATCAGCAGGCATGTCTTCATGTAGCATATCAAATTGCCAACCTGGACATTGAGCCTCTACCCAATCTCTGGAACTTATGGATGTTCACTGACGTATTCCGACTGGAAGCGAATATTATGAAACTCACCAAGATCTCAGGGTGAAACTGCGTGCTAGCTTGAAGTGAGACCTCGAAGCGTGGTAGGTTCATCGTGCGTCGGAGATAGAGGCATCCGCTACCTCTGGAAATCATCGAAAGTGATTCCATCCGATACGAGATACGGGCAGTAGGAGACTTGGTGTTAGCGAGACCATATGCGAAGAGAATGGCTAGCTGATCCATAGATTGTCAAAGTTCTTGGAGCGTTAGGTCGAACGTTTTGTGTAGCAGTTCAATCAGTCAGCTATGCCAGCTCCTCTCTGGGTCATCCCCCTGGATCCGCCCTCACGCGCAGAAGTGGAACGTGAGATCAGACGAACTACTCACGGCGCACTTTGGAGGTAGCGTTACTTCTCTTTTTACTGTGTACTGTCTTGGCTCACGCCGAATTATCTTCGTCGCACCGTCCTTGATCTGAACGCAACGATAATATCTCATAGGCCATTCTGCTGTTTATGGCGATTCCAATTCTAATTGTGGCAGGCCTTACCTATTTATGTCGTTTGTTTCTCTTGTCTCCCTACATCCTTTCAGACGCTCCAGCTAGCTGGCGTATGAACAAACACGGTGGTTTCAAGTTGGACAGCGTCGCAATCGTCAGCATCGTGGCGGTCGCCGCGCTTGTGTTCACTTCAGTCGCTTTCGCTGCATGCTTTGCCAGGTGGGTTTCCGCGGGTACAGATTTATCAATAATGTAGCAGGCAGATTTCTCCACACCTTTTCTTCATCTCCCTCTCATTTGCTCTGTGTTCTTGTGTTGTCGGTATCGCCTGCAGGTACTTTTCACTCGCTGCTCCATGCCTAATAGTCTTAACTCGCTTCTGAGCCCGCTTTTAGCGCAGTATGACGAGTGTACTTTAAATGGCTCAGACATTATGAGAAATTATTCCTAAGAGCACTTTTTCTCTGATTTGCTTAGTGATTCACACTCATGGTTGCTCGAACGAGCGGCATTCACCTCTATCCCCACAACCGTAACAAGTGCTACCGCCAGCTTGCCGAGCGCATTTTCATACTCGGTTTCACCAGTCTTTCTCTGTGACATCGGGTTTTGGTACAGGGGATTGGCTAAATTTTTGACGTTGATTCTAGCCCTACCGGATTCTTCCGCGCTCATAGCACCACTGATTTCTGAGCAGCTGACAGTGAAATCTGTAAAGTCCGAAGGAACTTTAATTTCTTGCACCGGATGTGTTACTCTTTCCCGATGACCTAGTTCCAACTTTCTGAACTGATGACGCGCCTTTCGTCCATTGGACATTCTCGAACGAGTATCGCTTTTCATTCAAGAACTTTATGTCTCAAGGTCGCGTTTTCGTCGGTCTGCTACTACTGACGTAGCTGTTACCACTGTCTGTTTCCGCTGGTTAACTGCACGTTGCAAACCGAGTCAAGCAATTACAAGGTTTCATCACAAAACCTTGGACCCAAACTGTTTTCTGCCCAAACTGTTTGTATCGTCTAGGTTTATTAGTCGATAGCGCTATTGATATACCTTTCGTGCAACGTAATTAGATTTAGCGTAGTTCTGTGGATACAGTATCCGTGGTGTCAGGCTTCGTGTGTTGTTTTGCAATCTCTATATCCTGGACTCGTCCCCGTTTTGGCTTGACTTTGGACATCCCCGCCCACGTACAGTCATTTGCAGTTACGTGAAAGCAAGGAATTGGGTGTTCATGTGTTGCCGATAACTTTTTTGCTTTTCTACTTTATGTACACGGAGTAAGAGCAGGTTGTTTTCTTGAGACATGTGTCAGTCCCTTTTCATTCACAGTCTCTGGAACTTATAGATGCTCGCCGGCATATTCCGGCTGGAAGCGAACACAATGAAACTCGCAAAGAGCTCCGGGCAAAACTCCGTGCTAGCCTGAAGAGAGACCGCGAATCCTGGTGGTCTCATTGTGCAACAGAGATGGAAATGTCCGCTGCCCTTGGTAACCATCGTAAGTTATTCCGTCTGATACGGGAAACGGGCAGCAGGAGACCAGATGTTAGTGAAACTATACATGACAAGAGTGGACAGCCTATCCACAACTTATCAAAACGCTTAGAGCGTTGGGTTGAGCACTTTGAAAGGCAATTTCATCGGTCGGAATTGTTAGATTTCTCGCCGACCAGTGATCGCCCTGCTCCGTGGGCTGTTCCTTTGGATCCACCCTCTCGTTCAGAAGTCGAACGTGAGATCGAACTGTTGAAGTTAAATAAAGCCGCGGGACCAGATGACCTTCCTCCAGCTCTCTTCAAATTCGGGGGACCTGCTCTTGTGGATGATTTACACGAGTTACTCGTCAAACTATGGGAGTAGGAAACTGTCCCAACCGATTGGAGGCGCTCCGTCATAGTCCCAATTTTCAAAGGCGGCTCACGATCGGAATGCGGCAGCCATAGGGGAATCAGTCTGATCTCCATTGCCTCCAAATTGCTTGCGTCTGTTATCCTTCACAGACTGACTGGCACACGTGAAAGCCAGATTCGTGAAGAGCAAGCTGGATTTCGTCAAGATCGTGGCTGCATTGACAACATCTTCACTTTGCGTCAGTTGTTGGGGCACCGTCACACATATTGGCGGCCCACCGTTGTCGTGTTCCTCGATATCAAAGGTGCATTCGATTCGGTGGATAGACATTCACTTTGGGACTGTCTACTCAGGAAAGGTGTACCTGAGAAGTATGTGAATATTATCCGAGCATTATATGCGCGTAGCTCGGGCAGAGTGAGGGCTTACGGCAAGTTGTCGTCGCCCTTTAATGTCTCCAGCGACGTGAGACAAGGATGCCCGCTGTCACCTTTCCTTTTCAACTTCGCTGTTGACGAACTCATGGAAATCGCATTCACAGGACACGACTTAGAAGGTGTGGATCTGCTCCTGTGATGGGAGTATACACTCGGACGAACGTGCGGTGCCAGCCCAGCAAGGAAGCCGTTAGGCTGCCGCAAGGAAAGGCGGCAGTCGATTGGACGTTCACACGTTTCTCGCATGCACACTGATTGGCCAACAGTCGGACGCATTGGAGTGAGTTGTTTGCCTGAATCAAAGGAGAAATGTCATGCATTCACAAATTTCGTTAATTATGGATCCAACTAGCTGTATATACCGATATGTTTCACTCGCCCTCTGCCTGCGTTTTCGCCTGGTCCTGTTGTTTGCTGAATATACGATTGTCCCTGAAGGACCGACTTTTTACACTCCCAGGAGAACGACTTCTTGACTTGGAGTATGCTGATGATATTGCCCTGATCTGTGACAGCTCACAAACTTACCAAGCGCCACTGGACAGATTAGCACTAGCTGTCCGTCACTTCGGGCTTTGCTTCGCACCCTCGTAGTGCAAAGCGTTCCTCCAAGATTGGCAGGGATCGCCTCCTTCGTTGACCCTTGGTGGAGATCAGCTAGAAGTCGTTTAAAATTTCAACTACCTGGGAAGTTGTATCAGCGCCCGTGGGATTGAGGATGAAATCACAAATCGTATAGCAAGAGCTCGAGGCGCTTTTGCTAACCTTCGCCACTTATGGCGCCGGCGCGATATCACTCTTGGCCTGAAGGGTAGGGTGTACAATGCATCAGTACGTTCGACCCTACTGTACGGTTGTGAAACCTGGCGGCTTAAAGCAGCGGACCTGAAGAGGCTAGTTACGTTCGACCACCGGTGCCTTCGTAATTTAGCTCACATCTGGTGGGAACACCGTGGGAGTAACGAGCGTGTTCGACGCCTTGTTTACGGCACAGGAAAAGGAACTGAACCGCTCAGCACCGTTATTTCACGCATCAGCCTCCGATGGCTCGGCCACATGTTACGCATGCCAGCCCACCGACTTCCGCGACGTGTGTTGTTTGCGCGCCGGGGTGTGGATGGAAGAAGAGGAGGGGTGGCCAAGCGATGACTTGGTCCAGAGGAATGAAGGCCCTTACTTCTGAGCTGGCCTCGGTTGGAGCGTCTCGGCTCCGTGGTTTGGGTCCGAAAGACGATGAACACGTTTGGCTGGACACACTTGCTGATATGGCTAGGAGCCGACCTCAGTGGCGTTCGTGCTGTGTTTCTTTGTCCCACCCCATCCCTCTTAGCCTCCCCCTTCAACCACGATCTCATTATTTAGGCTGATATAATTTTGCATAGTAATTTTTTTGGTACACAGCAGCTGGCTGGTAGCTTACCGGAACGATGCCCATCCGTTACCGGTAGCTCAGCCGGCTTGCACCAGTTGCATTTTTTTCTCCTTTTTTTCTATGTATTGCGGCACAATAGCTGAGGTGTTCCCCACCTCTAGCTAACGTGTATGCTGATGATGATGATGCAGTCCCTTTTCAATTAACGAGACTATACTGGCTACGATTTGATTTCCCATACTATCGATACCCGGCAATTGCGGAGGAATACTGTATTTTCTGTGTATGCATGTTATAATGCACGAACTCTAATTTCACTTCGTACCACCTATTGCGTCAGCTCTTAAACGATCTATCTACTCCTCTGCATCACATCCCAACGTGTCATCTGGTTACTTCGGGATTGGTTAAGACGCGGCACTCCCCGTCCCATTAATTGCTCTTCTGTTTGTACCTTTGGTGCATTTCTTCATCAAGGATCCTCTCCTTCCAGCATTGTGTCTATCTCTATTCCTTTTCTTTATCCTTTTCTTACCTGCTGTGCATTTTCTTTACTAAGCCTCGATGATTTCGCGTCCGATGAGAAATCAATCGGTCACGCGCATTGCTTTACAAGAAGTTTACCCGTTCACCCCAGCTTGTTCGAAGCACTCATTTACCTTGGTCCTCATAGCATAACATCACAGTTCCATGTGACAGTTCTGCCGAATGTTCAGTTAATATACTTCTGTTACACATGCTTGCAACAACTTGTGTGGTTCACATGCGCTTCCGGATGGGCCGCACTTTCCCTAGGGCCAATGATCATCTCATCGTTGTGGGTCCTCCTCTCGCCTTTCTGCATAGCAGCTTTTTACGTTCATACTACCCACCATTATAACCAATACTGTTTTATATACTGTTCCTATCGCCTCTACTTTGTAACAGTACCAGCCAGTACATTCGTTTATCCCCCTTCTTTCACAAATTTCCCCTTCTGCTTGTCACATTAGCGGTCTGAAATGCATGTTCTTCGTGTGTCAAAAACCGTTTGCTCGTTATGGTTCGTCGGAAAAGTCAGTAGGCAAGTATCGCCGTGTAGTTCCACTAAGGTTGAACAAGACCACATACAAGCCAATCCCACGTGCAGAATTACGCGACTATGTGACCCTCGCTCACGCGGACAATGACGCTGGCTTTCAAGCTGAATTTGAGGTGAGTTTTATTCGTTTACCGTGCTTCAGCCATTTAGTGTTTGGTATTCGCTTCAACAATGGTTGACTCGTTGTCCGCGCGGGGTTGGCTCTTTTAGTAACAGCCAAACTAACAGCCCCCATTGACCATCCTCTATCGTTTCCTCAGTCTTCGCTTACTTGTGCCAATCTAACAATGTGATCAGTGCTGTTCTGTCTAACCACTTGGTTCTAATAATTTTTCACTCCCCTTTCTCTTCGGACACACTTGAGGATAGACCACTCACATTTCTGATCTGTCACTTTTCCTTTTTCGGATGATGCTTTGGGCACATCTATAGATGGCTCTATAGAGCCACTCTACTCCCTAGGCTTCGACGGTTAACAGCCAAATAAGTGCAGTTCCTGATTCTTCAGGTTCAGAGTAACTCATCCTCATCATGACACATTAGCTGGATGTGAGACGTACCCCAACTTTTATTCCGCAACGCGGTTTAATTACATAGACGTACTGAAAAGGAAGAGACAAAGACGAAACACGAGACAACATAAAATTATGCTTATTTATTATGCATCATTAGTGAGATCGTGGTTGAAGACTCACCGTAAACGTGATGGGAACGGACAAAGAAACTCGATACAAACATCACTGAAGTCGGTTCCTGACCATATCAGCAAATGTATCCATCCAAGTGTGGTCATCGTCCTTCGGACCATGGCCAGGAACTCAGCAGACTCTAACAAAGGCCGACTTCGAAGTTTGGATCTCCATTCCTCTTGACCTAGTCATCGCTCGGTCTCCGCTTCCATCTACACTATTTCCCGGCCAAGTTGTCCTCTTGGGCGACAGAAATACTCTGCGGGGGCATTCCGGTCGCGCAAGCAACGGACATCGCGGGAGTCGGCGTGCTGACATGCGCAACACGTGGCCCAGTCATCGGAGCCGGGTGCGGGATATAACGGTGCCGAGCGGTTCACTTCCTCTTCATGCACCACAAAGACGACACCGAAAATGCTCATTATTCACACGTTGTTCCGCATCGATGTGAGTCGAACTTCGAAAGCGCTGGTGCTCGAACATAACTAGCATCTTTCCGTCTGCCGAACTGATGAGTCAGACTTCATAACCTTACAGCAGGGTCGAACGATGGTTGCATTGTAGCCTGTTACCTTCAGAGCGACAGCGATGTCCCGCTAGCACCATAAGTGACGAATTTGGGGGCAATGCGCCTTGAACTTCGCCACTTCATTTCCTATTCCAATTGATCTAGTTTAACTTCCTAAGTAGTTGCATTTGTGAACAACCTCTAGGGGATCTCCACCTTGTGTCAGTGCACCCCGTCATTCCTGGGTTAAACCATTGCATTTTGGTACCAAGCACAACTGAAACGCTCCACTGCCGATGATAATCTATCAAGCGCTGCGTTGCAGCAGGTGTTCTAGCTGTCACACATTAGCAAATATCAATAAGTTGGTCACTTACAGGCAGCTCCACACCTTCCACCTCATGTCCAGGGAACGCAGTTTCCAATGGTGAACTTAAAAAGAAAATGGGGAGATGGACATCCATCTCACATCGCCAGAGATATTGAGGGGCGCTGACAGCTTACCGCAATCCTCAATTTGCCCGAACTATGCGCTTACGGCGCTCTGATGATAGTTATCCATTTCTCGGATACAACTTTCCTGATCAAACAGTCCCGAAAGTTGTATCTATCCACTGAATCGAACGCACTTTTGGTATCGACGGATAGGACTACGGCGGTCGCCAACAGACATGATATTGTTCCAACAGCTGACCTAAAAGGAAGTTGTCGCCAGTGTAGCCTCCATTTCGACGAAATGCGGCTTCCTTCCCGCGAATCTTACTTTCACGAGTAGCAGTCAGTCTATGGAGGACAACAGAGGTAAGCAGTTGAGATCAGACTGATTCCTCTATGGTTGCTGCATTCCGAACGTCAGCGTCTCTTGAAAATTGGGGATGTGATGAAGCAGATCCAGTTTGGTGGGACAGCGCCTTACTCCCACATCTTCACAACGAATTTGTGTAATTCATCCACAAGAGCTGGTTCCCGAATTCGAAAGGGGCTGGAGGAAGTCTATCTGCTTCTTTGGCCTTATTCAGTTTAACAGTCTGATCTTACATTTGCCTTCTGCACGTGAGGGATCCAAGGGACGACCCAGGGAGGGGTAGTCAATCGCCGATAATGAAGATGGCAACTCGGGTTACTTAAACTGCTTTTCAGTGTTCCGCCCAACATCCCGAGCGTTTTGACAAATTGTGGATTGGCTGTTTACTCTCACCGCTTATGTTCTCACTAACACCAGGTCTCTTGCTTCCCGTTTCGCGTATCGGACGGAATAACTTTCGATAATTGCCCAGGGCAACAGGTCTTTCCATCTTCGATGCACGGTGAAATCACCTAGATTTATGGTCTCCCTTCAGGGTGGCACACAGTTTTGCCCTAAGATTTTTGCGAGTCTCATTGTTTTCGCTCCTAGCCAGAACACCTCGACGAGCATCGAGGCATTCCAGAGACTGTCTAGCGACCTATTGTTCAGTTTAGCAATTTGATTCACCACATGAGAGCATGACTCCTGGTAATAAAGCCTAGCATATATGTAACCAGTGACCTTCAGTTGTGAGCGTTTGCTCAGCCCGGATGCCAGCTTACTTTGATACGCATTCAGAACATCAGACTTCGTCATTTGGCAAGTATCTATGCGTTCACAGCGTTGTTGCGGACGTCCGTCGAAACGCACTCGCAGGTCGACGCATACGATTACGTGATCGCAGTCCACGCCGGTGCGCCAAATCGAGTGACAGTTTTGGACACATCCTTTCCACCGGTGACTAATCGCGATGTGATATATTTGCGTCCGAGGCTCGTGGGCTCCATGTCACTTTTCTGCGGGTGCTATGTCGTAAGATAGTGCTCACGAGAAAGAGACGAGCATCTTCACATAGGTGTAACAACTGCTCACCGTTGTCGGTACGGAGCCTACACCTTTTTGGCCGTCCAGACTTGTGCGTTCAGAGCACTAGCCAGCACCACATTATCCGTACCATTTTGTCGACCAAATATCCCGTTCAGTTGGTGATAGAAGTCATCCTTCGCGAGATCAACGCTACCATTTGTGGTGTCTTGAGCGGCAGAGATAAATCAGCACCTGGTGTCTCTGCGCGACCTCGAACTTTTGAAAAAAAACCAAGGAGAAGTGACACTCCGCAATTGCGTGCCAATAGAAACTAGGAGACAGACAAGTATGAAACTAAGACAGTGGAAAACCACGAACTGGCAGCTTGAAAACTGGTTGGATATAAGTGCTGTTGAAACGGGATAACAGGGATAAAACAGGTTCGAGAGAGGGAAAGCATTGGCAGTAGCAGCTTTATTCCTTTCCACCCTGCTCGATGCATCAAAGTAAGCCGTGGATTCTGCTCTGTATAGGTTGATACATCAATGAATTGTTAATCGAGAACTAAATTGTACCGCGTGAGCAGGATACTGTCAGATTGCACAGGCCTAGACGGGAGAACGATTACGGTCCACAATCATGCTTCTAAACCTGATTGCGAGACAGCGAGAGTCTGTGTCAAAGAATAAATAGCTACCTTCATTGCAATTTCAACCTCGAAAGACGGCTCGTGCGGCTTCTGACCGTTGACCAATCCGGTATAGGTAACTGTGCGTAGATTGTAGTGACACGCATACCATCGCACTATCATGGGGCACGGTCCCTTCGCCATAGTCCATGCCGAGTAAGTAGTGGGGTTTACCGTTTTCACGAAAACATCCCGTCTTTTGTTATTTTTTGTCATGTTTCTTTTGCCTTTTCCCGTAGGTCTCCAGCTATGTGCTTTGTACGTATTTGCGACAATGGCTGTGGATGTTAGAGAATATTGTCCGCTTACGTCCCCGCCTGGTTATCTTTTTACCGATTCTTTGTCGTCAGACTATGAAATAACATCAATGTAGCATCTGTAGTGGTTGCATACATCATTACCGCTTGGTTTCGTTGTCTCTCTCCGATGATAGTAAGGTTCTCTACTCATCCCAACCTGTTCAGTTTCCTGAATTTCCCATTTACACGATGGAAAATTCACTGCGTTTTCTGGCTAATTTGCAATGTTTCTCACGTTTCGATTTCTGAGAGCGTTCGCCTTCCATACGCAAGCGAAAACTGGACATATTAACTCACTTGTATGAACGTTGGCTCCACCACTTAATATTTCCGTCATGTTTAGTCGTGTTTCTGCATAGCCTGACGAACGATACTCGCCTGGCCAACCTTATCTATCGTCTATCAGTGTACGAGTGCAAATTTCATGGTCGTTATTTTTTAATCCATGTACCATTATCTGCACCTGTTCTGCGCTTACTTCTCCGCTTGCCATTCAATACCGTTTGGGCGTTTCAGATTTTGCGTAGACATTTTAGATGGTTTTCATTTGACACGACTCAAGAAAGCATACGTTTTGCTCGACAACACCTCTACTTTGTTTTCATCTTGTTCCGAAACGCGTTTCATCTGTTTTCGCAATCGTAACAACCTGGAGATTTGGAGGAGAACTAAGTTTACTCGTCGCAAACTGAAATATTTGCGCCATTCGTGGCTCCATTTCCGCCTTATGCTTAGATTGCAAATCGGTCATGCACGATGGAAACTAGGCTGTTGGAGTTTACTGTCGGCTAACTTCATTGACTTTTCCGTATGCCTCTTTGAACCTACGTGAATTTGACCTATTGAATGGTGAAGCTTAATCCACTGCTGATGTATTCACAGCTACAATGGAACAGACGGTTTTACTACAACCCTTGTTATTTATTTTTAGCTACTTTTCATCACACACACCATCTGAATGACCACGTTTTTGTTTGTTGCGTGCCTGAATACACACACGCTCCTCTCTCTCTCTCTCTCTCTCTCTCTCTCTCTATATATATATATATATATATATATATATATATATATATATATATATATATATATATATATATATATATATATGTCCCATGCTGAGGCTGATGTTGCATTCATGATGCTTCTTCACCGCAGTTGGGTTAAACCAACTTACACTTAAACTAGGTCTTTTTAATGTGGATAAAATTCATTACATTTTATTTTATTTTTGTTCTGCTTACTTGATAATCTTCTCCCAACGTACACACGTCGCTCATGCAAATTGTGGTAAACTTGCGTAATTTTATCGCGTGGTATTTTTTTAAATGACTTTCGGACATTTTGTACTTATCGCGTATTCACATTTAACCAATTTCTTCCATATGCTCATTTAGCGTGGATTTATGTCGTCATATGCGTTTACTTTATTCGATATCGACATTTCGAATGATTGGCTGTTGTTTGACATCCCAGGTGTGGCTGCGCTTGATGTGCATGTTGACAAAGTCCCTACTTGTCTATTGCCCACTACCTCGTCCATACTGGCTCCAGGAGACAGTTGGTCGTTGCTGGAGGGGACGGGGTGCACTGTCCTTGTGGTCGTGCTAGGCTCGAAGAGTGGTTCCATGCACTCAGTGTGGAGCGGACTACGGTCCAGCCACCGCCTTGTGTGCGATTGATTCCCAAATACAGCGTGCTTGTGTTTGCCTGTGAAGGAGTGTTAGCCGGCTCCGTTGATGAAACGTGGCTCCCATCCGCATGCGTCCCGGTCTTATTCCTTCTGGTTTACACTGGATATGGGGTGTGTGGATGGAGCTGTGGGTGGTGCAGCGCAAGCCATATATATATATATATATATATATATATATATATATATATATATATATATATATATATATATAGTCTATTCCGGTTAATCGGACCACATCGGGACCAGACCATTTTGGTCCTATTAAGCGGCTGGTCCGATTAACCGAAGTTACCCGATGTAACAAGATGGGACGTGCTATACATAACATAGGAAACTACTATTATGACCTGTATTGGCGGCATATATTTATAGCAAACACACAAAAAAGAACTGCTTTGATAATGAATTTTGTTTACTGAAAACGAAATTTACAAACAAATTCTTCGTAACGACCTACAAGATATTCAGCATGCGAAGTACAGTTTTATACAAAGGGATTACCGAATTCCATTCAGCGTTTGAAGACCGTATGCAGTGTGGTTTGACGCATTCTTTTAACAGACGGCATTCGCACAAAATCACCACAAACATGTAACGCAGTAATAGGACTACCTTCATTTCCTTCCTGCATGAAATTGCGGTGCAATGTTTCAATGCATTCCCTTGCATCCTGTTTTGTGACTGGCATCAACACGTTAGGGTTCTCTTCATCAATTCCATGGTCTTCTGCTGCTGTCGTGTGTTTCGCTGCTATTCGAGCAACAATGGCAGCATCGCATTCTTCATTTCCATCATAGAGTTGAAGTTCGTTGTCGTTTGACAAAAATTCTTCGTACTTTTCAACTTGTTTCAGCTCCACACTCTCGCCGTCATTTTCATTTACAATCACCATATCCACATCCATCTCCGAGACAATATGCTTAAAGCCACAGTGAGAAAAACAGTTCCGAATTGTCGCATTGCTCATTTTTTGCCAACTTTCGGCCACGAATGTAACGGCTTGCGAAATGTTGACCTTTGCACTGCTTTCTCCGGCCGTCGAGGATGAGGTCAGCAAGCCTTCCTCAATTGATTCAAGGATGTAATTCACCAACCTTGAACGATAAAGTCTTCAAATTTGTTATGATGCCCATGTCCATTGCCTGTATCAAAGATGTGGTCTTGGGAGGCAGAAATTCCATCTGCATATTCTTCAAGAAATCCAAATTTGAATGCGCTGCACAATTGTCGAGAAGTAATAACACTTTTCTCGACTGGCGTTGTAGCTCTGTGTCCCAATCCTTCACCCATTCTTTAAAAAGTGTAGAGCTCATCCATGCATTTCTGTTCGCACGATACACAACTGGTAAACTGTCCATTCTGAGTCCCTTAAAGCAGCGAGGCTTGGCACATTTTCCTAAAACAAGCAACTTCCTCTTGTCTGTTCCGGACATGTTTGAGCAGCACAGGACAGTTACGCGATCCATTGCTTTTTGCAACCAGAGAGAGTAACATGTTTGTAACTTAAGGAGCCGTCCGGTGTAGCTCTATAATACAACCTGGTTTCATCAGCATTATAGATGTCATCTGCTGGAAATTTTTCAAGAAACTCTGGTAGTTTTGTTGATTTCCATTCTTCAGCTCGAGCGCTATTGGCACTTTCTTTCTTACCATGTGCTTTCTTAAATTTTACATCATGTCTAGATTTGCATCGAGACAACCAGCCGTCCGTAGCTATAAAATCTTCGTGGCCGAGCATTTTAGCGAGTTCTGCTTTGTACTTTAACATTGGGCCACTTACTCGCACGGCTCGTCCAGTAACAAAAGCAAACCAATCATCGACGTCTGGATCCTTGCCTTCACGCTTCCGTTTTTGGGAAGTACCTCGTTGTCCTTCACATTGTGCCCATTCTTCTCGCAGATCTTTCTCTTGTTTTGTCAGGCGCGATATTGTAGATTTTGCCAAGCAGGTAATTTCCAACAATCGACGCTGACTAGTGGTTGGTCCCTGTTCCTTGATCTGATCTAGCGAACGAATGTGCTCAGCTAACGTCAAGTCCCGTCGTGGCATTTTCTTAACACGCAACAAGACACACAGTTCACTGAGGTGAATTCGAGTCTGTCTCCCGGGTATTTCTATGGTTGACCTAGCCACCTGCTGTCCTATGATTTGCCGGACCTGTGTGTCCGCGATCACTTGCCGTGCTCGAGAGTAGGCCCGCAATGCGGGCTCAGGGCATTCGGCTCAATGGACTTGCGGTACATCGATCGAGTGGTTAACGACATGTGAACAAGCATGTATGTCTTCGCTCCGCCTACAAGTGTTGGAAAGTACAGTCAGTTTCGGGCGGTTCTGAAACCAATTAGATAGATGTGCCTCAAGGTTGCCACAGTTCAGTTTATCCAAAGGCCAACTCGGATTGCCGTAAATGAATGATACGCTTTCTTGCCCGACATATGAACTGTGGGTTTAGTCCAGACATCCAGGCACAGAACTTGATTTTAACACCTCTGTTACCTGCCACCTTCTATCGTCTGGTCCGATTAAGCGGAATTCCGGTCCTAATAAGCGGCTAAAATTAGGCCAGCGTAATAGGATTCATTTCGGTTCTTCAGAATTTGGCCCGAATAAGCGGCTGGTCCTATTAACCGGAATCCACTGTATGTATATCTTATTTGCCCGCCACATTCTCCGCTTGCACCGTTCAACGGCTTCACGCTTTCTCTCAGACAACTCACTCAATGAGTAGTTTAGGGCGATCACACTACGCCTTCCTATTTCCTATCACTTGTTGATAGTGTATCCAATCAGTTCGTTTTCAGTCCTCGGTCTGCTTATCTCGTTACTTTAAAGGTTTTTTAACCTGGACTAATTTATTTGTCATTGTGCGCTTTGCTGTGATACTGGCATAGTCTAACGTTGGATTGACCTACAAGCCTGCTACAGAGACCAAGATTTAGCTTCAGCTAACCGAATGCAATAGCATCCTACTGCACTCCCACATGAGTAACCCGATGGGTGGTATCCATAGCTGTCGATTGATAATTTCACTTCCGATCGCCCTACTCACCGACTACAGACGACATGCACTGAGACTGGCAATCAACCCGCATACAAAAAGCGTGTTCTAGCTAAAGTATATAGTTTGCCGGACATTTCAGTGCAGCATAGCGTGCATTGTGAAGCACTTGTTAGCCTACTACATCGGCTGTATTTTTGCTCGATCATGCATCATGTTACAGATAGCCAACGGTGAGCGACACTGTGCCTGCGGCTATCCTACACATTGTCAAGCTGATTAACGCTCAAGTGAAGTACGCTCTTCTCTAATTCTCTAAACCGCACGGGCACGGTGATCCCGTTCACAGTAATTTCACTTTTTTGTCGCTGACCGATCCTGACTGCAATCTGTCTGACTTTACTCGATCGCCTTGCACTATAGCTTGTTTGCACTTGTCAATCGTCGTTGAAGCATTTCGATTCTCGTTCCCAATTTTCACCTTGCCACATAACCGCTGCCCCCCTGCCTTGGTCTAAATTGCTTCCACTACGATCCCTTTTCCTGCCAGGCCATGGAGCGCACGGTGTGCTGCACAGAATGGGCCAGTAACGTTGCTAAACTACCGGAGAATGCTACCAGAAATCGCTACTCCAATGTACTCGCATGTAAGTCCCAGTCTACTCCTGTTTTGTTTATACTCACGCATGCCCACAAAAATCCCGTTGTTCTACATTCATTCAGATGAGCTCTTGCGGCTGCTGCTCTCTGCATCGAGAGTCGCGTTAAATTTTTTTAAATATTACACAGATCCACTCTTTTATATCAGCAGCTAACAGTCTCCTGACTCACTTGTTTTTATTGGGATTTCGGTGACCGCTGAGTGAAACCTGCTTCCTCAGGACTATCACCCGTACATAACGCGCATCGTTTCACGAGTTTCGGCCTACGTACCTCTGTTCTCATCGCATGTTATTGTGCATATATATGACACATGCTTGCACCGTCACCGTGCACCCAACTTGCGTCTCACTTGAACTGCCCGTTCGCAATATGCAAGTTTAATTGGAGCCTCATCTTTCTGATGAGTAGAATGCCGTTTGACTTCTGCTAACCACTCGAGTGTGTACACCCTTCGAGTAAGTGGATTTCTACTGCATCAGTTGCTCTAACTGAAAACGACATTATTTCATTCTCACAAGATACAACTTTGCGAATGGATGTGCTTGCATTGACGGGAAGCATTTTGTTTAGATGCGATACACTGTACCGTGTTGTTCCTCTTCGTCTAGGGAGCTAGGCTGAAAGGGTGACTAATTAGCAGACCACTTGCACAACTCATTTCACACATTGCCGCCGTCTTGAACCTTAGGTTGGACGTCTTGTTACCATCGTTTACTAGACCATCGGACTCCCGCATCATTAAACCCTGGTATCAACTGAAATTCCCTACTCTTAATGTTGCTCCTAACCCACTGCCCACCGATTCTCATTGGCGTCTAGTCTTATTGCATCACTTTTACACAGAGGGCTGCTAGTGGGTACTACAATATTGCCTATCGTCAATTGTGGAAGTCACATTTGCACCGAGTTTCTTTTTATACCCGACTCTGCCCGTAGTTCGTCTCAACTATCTCATGACCATCAATTAACTTTCTTAGCAACTAGTAGGGGGATATTTTGTGTTTTTAAGGAAGTTAATCACGGCCAGACTGTCAAATTATTACCGTAACTCATTAAGTGCGCCGCACAGCCGCGTCCCACCATGTCCGAACCCATGATTTATTTCCATAGTCGTCGACTGAATTAGTTTGCGATGATCCTTCTCAAAAATAAAAGAGCCTTCCCATTGCTCTCGAACGATCGATACTCACTTGAGTTGGTTTGAAGGGAAGATACTTGGCTGCTTAGCGGTGGAAACCGTGACTCTTGGGGTCAGCCCTCTCCTCTGCATGGCAGTAGAGGATGAGCTGCGCTATTGCACGGTCAAAAATCAGTCATGGTGGTCCACGGTCTCCGCCACCGATAGCTCGGTTGCCTTTTTCGGCGACTCCTATTATCATGGGTTCGGCTCCGGTGGGATCCTGCAAATGCACGTTATTGACGAGTTCCAATAGGGCGAAACGGACGTCTAGAGCTTTCCTGAATGTCTGGTGGCTGTTTGGTGGAGTCTGACTGATATTAACCTCAACATATCCATACTTTTCTCTCATTTGTTCTTCGAATTTTGCCTATCTGTTTTGGATTCTACTGGAAACTTCCTTCGTTACGGTACTCGGGTTGGGTCAATTCTGTCTCGTTTCTAACTTCACATTTAGCTTCTAAAACCTACAGTGTGGCGCACGAAATGTCATACCATTTGTTCCGTTCATGACACCTGTATTTATCACGAAAATATTAAAATTAGTGCAGTATTAATTTTATGAGCATGGAAATTTACTTCATTGTAGTATGTGTTCGATGTGATCACCATTTTGTTTCACAACCTCTTGCAAGCGAACCTTTATCTTTTTCACAACCTTCCTGTAAAAGTCTTCCGAAATTAGCCGGTACAACTGCATGATGAGAGCTATGAGTTAAGCTGCACTTTGCGAAGCCATTATCTTTCAAATAGCCCCACAAGAAGAAATCACATGGATTGATGTCAGGGCTATGTGGGGGCCACTGTCTCCCACCTAATTGATGCTCAAGAAACCGATGTGACATTACCCGCTCATCAAACATGTCATACAGTTAATCAAGAACAACATTTGCAGTGTGTGGACGGGCTCCGTCTTGCATGAACCATTGAGTTTGTAATGGGAGACCTGTTGCCAAGAGTTCTGGAGTAAATCAGCTTTCCAATATGTTCTTATATCGAACTTTGTTTACCGCCTTATCAAAGAAAAAGGGTCCGATGATCCCATGGGATGAAATTGCTGCCCACACGCTGACCTTTTCTCCATAATTTTCCCTTTCGTTTATAATGTGAGAATGTGCACTTGCCTAGAAATGAACGTTTTGCTTATTCACCACGTCATTTAAATGAAAATACGCCTCGTCAGTAAACCACGTGCTGTACAGCACGTGGTCCTCTTGCACTAACCATGAAGCGAACTGATGTTGTCTTCGTTGCTTGTCCTCTGCTGTGAATTTATGGACAAATGTTATCATGTAAAGGAACATTTGAAGATCAGAATGCAGAATCCTTGGTATGGACCGAGGAGATATTCCTAACTCAGCAATCGTGCTCCTTGTTGATTTGCTAGGACTTCGTGTCAAAGTAACGCGAACTGCTTCCATGTTTTCAGGGGTGCTGACACTTGGTCTGCGCCGTCGATACTTCTCCACCACAGAGCGGGTATTTTCTAATTGGCGGTACAATCTTAATGGTCTGTTTGCATGGAGTCCAATTTGTACGAAAGTGTGCACGGAAACGTTGTGTGTCGCTACTGAACTCGTTTTTATAAAAAAAAACAACTTTCAGCTTCTGTTCAACACTCAATCTGCTCTTATGCCCCATCTTGAAAATTGTGGTTGGCGCCACGAAACTATTCCATACTAACTTCTTGTGAAAGCTACCGGATTTTTCATAAACCAAAATATACGATTACGAATTTTCAACATTACATTTATAATATTACATGTTTAATGAGCAAAACAAATGGTATGACATTTCGTGCGCCATCCTGTAGTTGATTGTTTATTGCGCTATCAGTTTTGCAGCTTGGCTGACAGAGTGACTCACTGTCCTGCCTACCGATTACTTTCTCACTGGGCACTTTTATTCTCGATATATCCCTGACATTACGCGAAACGGTCACACTGCTAACCCATCTCCACTTATCTACCTATTCATAACTGCTGAACTATTTTATAAGTTTAGCTAGCAATCTGATCGCATGATTGTTTGTATATTATTTGGAGCGTTTAAGCCCACCTTCCCACAAAGCCGATGTTAGCATCGGAGAGTTGCACTTGTTGATGATACACCACTGACTTGTCAACGCATAGAGAATATGTTCTGTCCGTCAAATATTATGAAGCCACCAACACTTGACCACTGGAGTCTACGGATCCTTGTGTGTGTTCTCCGTATGCATATCGTTGCGATCGGATCTTCTTGGACTGCCCCGGTCCATTTGATGAACCCAAACCACTAACTCCCATGAACTGTTCTGCTTTCTATGCCTATCCTCGGAAAACACCTACCTAGCTTTTTCTGCTGAATTGCCACTGGTCAGTCGAACTCCCAATCTAGGTATTATTTATCTGTCAAAGACACAAAAAGCCAACCAAAGGGCCGAATCGCTTTGTTATACGCCACCTTTTGTGTGAGGCCCACGACATCTGTTACTTCAATTGTCCACTGCAAAGGTTCACGCGAATCTGCTGCTCTTAATTCTTCTATTGCAACACTTATCCTCCGCTTCCAATGTGATGCGACCATTTTTCGAATTCTGTTTCTTCATGTTGTCATCTTTATCTGTTATCATAGCGTTGCAATGATCCTCAATCACATTCCTAACATTCTGGCTATTGGAGTTGTCCATGTCCCTTCTGCTTCCTCGTCTCCTTCAGCCTTGTTGGTTAGATCTTGTTCGTTATGCTCCACCGGAATTTCCAACTGTATATTATGAATATCCACCCGGTAGCCTTAGTCCACTAACTTGTAACATTTAATAACGTACCTTGTGTATATCATAGTGTCTCGCTCATCAACCTCCTGACCATACCATTTTTTATGTATTGTCAAACTATTGGATTCCTTTTTGGGTACCATTCCATTCCACACTGTTTTCTCTCAGACGATCACACTCGCGTCATCTTGAAAGAAGTCGGGAATAAAAGTGATTACATCAACGCCAATTACATTGATGTGAGTCTCCTCTCCTCCCGCGATTACTGCGTTTTTCCACACCGATTCCCGCTTCCTTCTGATTTTCCATCAATCTCGCTTTTTTTCATCAGGGCTATCATCGCCGCGCTGCTTATATTGCCACCCAGGGACCCATACCGGCCACCTTCGATGACTTTTGGCTTATGGTATGGGAGCAGGCATCGAATGTGATTGTGATGATATCCAACTTCATCGAGCGTGGCCGTGTGAGTCTGAGCTAACGCGTACAATTCACCGTTGTGTACTGGTAAATGTTCTAGCACATTCGTTCAAATTACCTTCACATGGGAATCCGAATGGACTCTTCAGCCGATTGCCTGTTTTGTTGACGCGCTGTGTGCCCGTCTGCTGTTTATGTTTACCACGGTAGACGTGCTCGCTCATCTTTTATTGATGCAATCCTGCCTTTTTTTTGGTGATAACCACGTTCCGGCTGGAAGTGAAGTTTAATCACAGTAGCATTGGTATCACTTAACTACGTTGCATCGCCATCCCAGGATACCTAACACATGTGGGATGCGATTCCCACCTATCTCCTCCGGTATTAATGAACTGGCTTCTGCATCCACAAGCATTACTTGCTGCGGAACAAATTTCAATCATTTCATGCTACTTGAATAATTTTTAGTTGTTACGGTCCATCAAGATGCGGACGATTTTCGAATTAGTATCGGACTCTGTCCTGTTACTGATCACGGGATTATCATTTGTTATCTCCAGTAAAGTGTTTAAGTGATCCGATGGGTATATGCTGGCTTAAGGTACACTACTGGAACGGAGCGGCTCTCCTTTGGATCCAGAAGTCAGCTTTTTAGCGAATTTATCCCAAATTTAACAGGATGATCACTATTCTCTCGCCGAGACGTATGATGCTTGCTGTCCTGCTTGTGATACAATGCCAACCTTTCCATTTTCACACGTACTGTTACCGATAGTGTTGCAATCAGTAGGCGTCGGAGCTCATCCCTATTGAGTCTTTTTGTGGATATAATATGCGGGTGAAAATGATCACTGCCACGGAATTATCAGCCTCGGCAGGAGCAATGATAACAATGTATTCGTTATGGTGACATGGACATTGCATAATCGATCAGATCAGTCAACAGTGTCTGCTTTCTTCTTGATTCAATACCAAAGTTGGCATATTGCTTATCCCAGCACATACCTGATGGTGGCAGATTAATACCCTGTGGGCACCTCCGTTGTGTGTCAGCACGGCGCTTTAAATCTGTCCTCGAATGCTTCTTCCTTTCTCTTATTGCTGCTTAGCGTGAAGATGCCAGCATCAAAAAGCAGTTAACTCTTTATATCTTGTAGTAAACTTAAACTAGTCGTGAGTTCATAACTGCAGAAACTTAGATGTAAACCTGTTTTATATACGTGTTGTTTCATAACCACATCATTTTACGATAATCATCTTATGAGGCATGAGCTTTGTCTATCTGGGCTCGTTGGCCTGCTCTGTGCCATCAGAAACACAGCCCATTTTCATGTGAATGTGAGTGCTGCCTGCTAGCCGCATGGTTCAGGTTTCCGTATTGTGATCTACAAATCGCGCCTGCGTAGGTTCGGTCACCCTCGTAGTATCAAGACTAGTGCTAGTCGCGTGCGGAATAACTGTGTGTCGCTGCGACTTGCCGGGTTAGCACTACTGTCCTTTTAACATCTATGTGGAGGCCGAGAAAAGTAGCCCCCGACCCTAATCGATTTAGGATTTGCTCGGTGGCAGTGGGATCGGTCCATTTTGGGGCACTGTTCGTAGTGACCTAATGTTCAATCATAGGAGGCGCGTTCTCTGGTCCTTTGACCGGTAGTCCATTTTGAAACATCAGCTCTAACCTATCTCTATCATCACCTGCACAAACTTCCTTGTGCAGCATCCGGTCAAATGCCTCTTCGTGGTTCATAAAATTGCCATTTCCTCACCACCTTTCTCGATATTTCTGCTTTTGTTTGACGTTTCACGTGCCCTCTCTCCTTCACAGCGCAAATGTGACAAGTACTGGCCCTCCACCGGACAGCAACTGTACGGCAACATATCAGTCCGAATGGTGTCGGAGACGGTGCGTGCCTTCTTCACCGTTCGTGTGTTCGTCATTCGCCATGTTCGGTGCAAACGGGTAAGCTGTACCGTCTGTCTGATGCGTGTTAACAAATGTTTTCACTACACCCCTTGAGACTGTTTGCCACCAGTTGCTGTTGTTCTTGCGCATCTCGGATACATGTGCCTATGTCTTGGAGTCACGTGACGCTCATTTCAAACCCCAAATTTCCGATTCCTCTATGCGCACCATTAAATGTTCTTTTGTGAAGGGGTTATGCAGCCGTACGTTCGACTCTGCTGTACGGCTGTGAAATCTGACACATTGGATCAGCCGTTATAAAGAGGTGAGTTACCTTCGACCACCAGTGCCTTCGCAGTTTGGATCACATCTGGTGGGAACACCGCGTGAGCAATGAGCGTGTTCAACGCCTTGCTTACGATATAACAAGAAGAAGTGAACTGCCCAGCACTATTATTTCACGCACTAAGTTCCAATGGTTTGGCCACTTGTTGCACATACCAGCACACCGGCTCCCGCGACGTGCGTTGTTTACTCGCCAGGGGTGTAGTTGGAAGAAGAGAGAAGGTAGCCAAGCGAAGACTTAGTCAAGAGCAATGTAGGCCCTTCGAAGTTGGCTTCGGTTGGGATCAGAAAGCCGATGAACTCGTTTGTCTGGACACACTTGTTGACATAGCTAGGACCCGAACTCAATGACATTTGTGTTGTGAGTTTCTTTGTCCCTCCCCTCGCTTAGCCGTCCTCTCTAACTACGATATCATTTACTTGGCATTATATAACTCTTTTCGCATCATAATAGTCGGCTGTTACCTCTCTGGAACGATGTCCATTTCTTACTGGTGACTCAGTCGGTGTGCCTCCGTCGCACGTTTCTTTTTCTGCATTGTGGCACAATAGTCGATGTATTTCCCACTCCTAGCTCACGTGTATTGTGATGATGATGATGATGAAGGGGTTAGCCTTAACTTTAGGGCGTCCCGGCTACTTTACTCTGAGTTACGAGTGGAGACGCTCAAATTTCGCCCGAACAAAAACAGGTGACTTTCTCGTGGTTTCAAGCTAAAACACATTATTGTCGGGACACCTACATTGCTCATCTATAATCTGCAACTTTCTCTCTGACTAGCACATGCAACTTAAGTGCCACTGACCTCCATGTCTTTTATCGCTCTGTTTTACCGGATTATTCTCCCTCTCAAACTTTACCAACTTGTAGGAGTAATGTGCTTAAGCACAATATACGTGATATTTCGTATACTTAATCGGCCAGTGAGCTACACACATTTTCGAGATGAACGACTTATCATATCATTACTTTTCCAGGAATTGGCCTAGGGAAACTCCATCGCTTCGGTCGGTAACCGAACTGATTATGTACTTGCGTTGTATTCCGGGGTCACCGATTCCAATCCGCATAGGTACGGGCGACCTCGTAGGCACCGCAACCTTGATGTAGTGTGTCGGCGTGCTGCGGGTGCTGGTGTTTTTTTCAAGCCCATCACCTTTCTGACCAGTTTGCTGCCTCTCTCGGGCAGCTGGGGGTCTCTTATTCTCTGAACACAATGAACATTTTGCTGCTTAGAGTTTGGTCACGGCAGTTCCTGTTACATTACTCAACTTTCCGTCAACCTGAACGTGGTGATATTGCAGTCTCGCCTGTTTCATGCATCTGCGCGCAAACACTCATTCATCAGTAGACTATGCTTGTTTTGCGATTTTGTTAACAACTATTGCTTCCCTCCGGAATTGATATAGTTTACTCTGACACTCGACTCAAATCCTTCCACTTCTCAGCTGAGCTGCAGATTTGGCATGGTACCATTCTATGACGTGGACTTTTTGAACTGCTCCCAAACTACTTGTGAGCATGGGCTTTTTAATGTTGTTAACTATGGGTTACTCGCAGTAGCTTCCAAGTCAAAATGTCTTCCACCTTTTCGGAGAACACTAGATGGCGATTTCATCCCATCGGGACTCATGAGTGACAGTCACTCCTCGGTTCCACCCGGAACCGAACTCAGCAGCCTGCTTCACTACTCAGCGAATTATACCGTTGATCCATGAGTGACGAAAGCAGACCGTCATGATTTACAAGGTTACCGCGATGTGATGCTGTTCGTTAGTTCGACTCCCGGTGAAGGTGGGATTTTCATTACTGACGAGTCCCGATATGGAGCGGAACATCCGTGTAAGGCTTTCCAATTGGGTGAAAGACCACCTGGCTTGGCAGCTATCACGAAGAACGCCTGGTTACTGGCTTTTAAATTGTTTGCACATTCGTTGATGTAGTACACTTGGCGTCACCACTTTTCCTACTCGCATGTGGTTCTCTTCTTTTCTCTTCACCCATTCCATCTCACAGGTTGGTAAGGAGCGTCTTGTGTACCACTATCAATACACCGATTGGCGTGACTTCGATGTACCCTCTTCTCCGCTTCCAGTTTTGAAATTTATCGAGGCTTCTGTGACTCACTGGTCTCTTGAGGATGGCCCCATTGTTGTCCATTGCAGGTCTGTTTATGCATACTGCCGTGTGTTCGGGCCAAGCAGGCTGGTGGCTGTGCTGTTAGCCTGCCGCCATTCTCATTTATCACGACAAATGATTTTCGGATTCACAAATCTCGTTGTCATGAGTGAAGTGGCATGTTGCAGCCTCCCATTGTTGATAGTACGACTTATTTTGAACTGAATGGCACTCACTGTTATTCTATGTAAATGGCTTCATGAGATTGCTACTCACGCTGCTTAGGAAAGACGGGGTTCACAGTCTTCATGTGTGTGCTGCACTCGAGGACTGGTTCCATCCCGTGTGGAACGGGCTACGGTCTAGCCACCGATGTGTGTGGATCGGGTACTCTTGATTCACTAAATCTCATACGAATGGTATGTACATAAAAAGAATGTGGACCGGCTCTGCATCACTCCTGGCTCCCATCCACATGCCTCCCGGTTTTGTTCGTTCGGGTTTACACTGGATATGGGGTGTGTGGTTGGAGCTGTGGGTGGTGCAGCGCAAACCACCCATGGTCACTCTGTGGACGTCCTCTGGCTATTCACAGCCACGTGCCCCAACCTCGTTGTTGGTAAGTGCTGACTGGAGTAGCGTCTTTTAACTGTCTTGACACTTACCTACCCAACTTACTTGCCACTTTTTAACGTATTCTCTTCGCAACCACTTTGATGGTCGATTCACCAGCGGCACACTGGTGCTGCAGTACTGCATAGGCGACCAATTTGAACTTCAGTCCATTTATTGTTGCATCCGTACTTTTTGTACACACTTGTGAGATGACACTCTTGAATTGGCAACGCGATTATCAACCATCCGCTCTTTTTCCCTATTCTTGAAATCAGCGCTGGTTCGTGATGAAGTCACCTAGTTCATGTTATGACAACCCAACTTGTGCTTGAATTCTCTTCTCCTGCACTCTGTCTTGTTTATATGGCAAGTATTTCGGTGTTACGGTCACATCCGCTTGGCGGATACGATCGGTCATCATGTCGCGCCAGTAGCATACAGTCCACTCCGCATATGTCGCTTCTGCGGATCACTTTAGGATCAGGCGCTTGGTCTCATAAGTGGACGCACGAAATCTGCTTCTGCTAGAGGCCTAATTGTATCTCCCTACATGGTGGCGATTCGCACGTTAAAATCACTAGTGGAACGCTGTCGATCGCTTTGCGCTGTGCTTAGTACGGAGGGCAATGAGAACAAGCCTAATGTTTCGTGTCGTCAAGAAGGAACATGGCGATGTCACCTCTTCTACTGAATGTGGCGGAATTATCGCGTTCCGGGCTTGGGTGAAGTGGGTTATACATTGGGCTGATGCCAGTTGAGTCTTCCATCATGCTACTGGAGAGTGCAGAAACAGATCCTTACTCGTATGGCACTGGAGTGTTCTTCTCAACAAGCTGGAGTGTCCCTGTCTCATTGTAAACAGCACAATTGGAAGAAGGATGTTGCATGGTAAAATCATCTCGTGCACTATGCGAACACGGAACATGCTAGAGGTTCACTGGGGGAAAAGAATCCATAGTTTGAATGTTGAAAGATGTGTCACATGTCGGCACAGGCCACAGCAGAATCACAAGGATCATGGTCCCCAAGGACGCTTGAGTGTGGCAATGATTAATGTCCATTACTGGCAACCAATCTGACATTTGCGCACAGCTGACTGTCGCATCTTGGTGACCATGATATTCGTTTCACAACTTGTGATTCTGCTGTGACCTGTGCCGATATGTGCCTCTTCTTTCAAAATTCAAACTATTCATTCCTTTCCCTCAGTGGTCGTTTAGCATGTTGCGCGTTTGCGTGTGGTCGGAGAGCACGAAATGTTATCATAATGCAACATATCCGTCTTCTCCTGTTGTTCAAACTGTAGTGTGTGTAACCATGCCTCCTTCACTCAAATTACTTTTATGCGCGTCTTACTGGTTGCTGCAATCTGAACACCATAGTGATTGATTTCCATGGTGACATATATGGTGTGTCGCATCAACACTGGTTTGCGTTCTGTTCCACCATTTGTCATACCTTCCAGCATCCAGTCTTTGACATTTTACTAATGCAGGCGATTTCACCGGTCAATGGATGGTGTGGGTGTATGGATGGGTGGTGTGACTTGGATTTGACTTTGGTAGTACATCTTATCTAAAACGGCGCTTTGGAATGGCAAATATGGAATGAGGTACAAACTCTCCAGATCAACTGACGGAACTGCATGATTTTCTTAAGAAGCTATTCGACCGTATGATGTATACAGTTGCCTGGAAAATGATGTGGTTTCGGTCATTCTGATTCAGTTAGTCAGTCACGATCTGAACTCCGATTTGCCGTAGGCCTCGTTGTCTCGTGACCCCTTGTTGTCGAATGGGGAACTAACAAACAGCGGAAAGGAACAAACATCGTTAACACAATTTCATCCAATAGTAGATCAGAAGCAGAGGAATACTGTGAGTGATTATCAAGTGGAAGGTCAAAATCGAGAGATCAATGCACCATTGCTTTCGCTCTATAACTTCTTCGCCTAAGTTGGTAGGTTTTCGACTGCCAATTTTGTGGATCCCTAGTTCTCTTTACCAAACTCGACTAAGTCTCTGTCTGCTTCTATACCCCTTTTGTCAAGACGTGTCCGGCCCGTGACCTAAAGGATCGCAAAGGCTGCATTGTAATCCGAGGGCGCGAGTTCGTGCATGTGTAGGGGACCGGGCGATCCTCGCAATATCCTTAGTCCACATGCGACCGTTGGTGCTTGCTTAGCAGCGAAGCGTCGGTATTACGTACCGGCGCATTGCTGATACCATTTTATCAAGACGTGAGCTGCTCACTGTAATGTTTTCACCCAACCTGACCTTTTGTCGAAAACAACGCACGCCGAGCTGAACAGTCAACATTTGTGTACACAAGACATGACCATACGATTGTAGACGATTTGTGTGTCTGTGTTTGATTACTGCTGTTTGCAAACTCTAACTCACCGACATTGGCACGAATGTCTTTCTTTCCCGCGCCCTCGGATAATAAGACAAGCTTCTGATCGTTAAGGCTACGGACCGGCAATCTCGACACGACGGAATCGATATTAATGAGCCTGGCGATGGGTGCTGAAGGCTGACCTCACGTTATTGAAGGCCAACTGCCACATCCCACGCCTTCCATAAAGGACCTGTGTGCACTCTCGCGCTGCTACTTGAAGCCCGTGGACAACAAAATCAGACTTTATCGTGCCGAAGTGTGCATGCTTGGTGCACTCAAACGCATCTGATCTGAGGAGATCACTACTTTCCTCCTTTTTTCAATCATAAAGCTATTACTAGGTTACTGATCGCCCACTGTTACGTAGAGGTGAAATCAGTGTATCGCCAGGCTACTGTCCAATCACTCTAGACGAAGCACAGAAAGTCGAGCAGGTCCAACACGCTGCTGCCGAGTTGCTTCCTGGTTTACGAAAGTACTGTACGAAGACCGCTGCGAGAAACTGGGACTCTGCTCCTTGTTCTCTCGTCGGTTGCGAGTCGATCTAATTGTGACCTACCACAATTACATCTCGGTGACTTCCCCATATCGAGGTCGCTGCTTCACTTGCAAACGAGATGCTGTTCACGCGAATATAGGCGCAAGCTTGCGTTGCAGGATTGAAAGCAAGTTTCCCACCCCCTCTCTACTTCGAACAAAGAGTGTAACTGGGATATTCCGCCAGAACAAGTGAGACCAAATCTGTGCAGTAGTTCAAAACGTTGTTGCATTCACATTTCACCGCGTTTCGATTCAGAGGACGATTGCAGACTGGCACTAAGCTCTGACATTTGTGGGCCCAGTGGTAAGTCAGACATTTTAAGTGCCACGCAAAAAGTTGCAGGACGCTGAGAATATCAATAGGTGGGTGATATTTTTCATCACACTCTGACGCTTCGTACTGTGCCGCTCTGCTACGTAAACGCTCACTGAGGATGTCGCCTCGAGTGGTGACGAAACGTTTGCAGCCAAACTGCCGAGCTCAGTGATCACTCAGTCCACCAACTGAACAACCTGAGCTACCAACATTTGCTTCTATATCACACTCTGACGAAGTTGTACCGATGTAAATGTCGACTTGCTCCCCCCCACACTACAGTATTTAGTATTAACAGTAGATATTGCAAGAAATGATGTTTCTGAGCGAACAACAAAAGCCAGTTTAACGACCCCGTCATAGCTACCTGACCGCTCTTCTGTCCGAGCGACTTTTGCGTAATGAGCACGGGCATTGTCATGGAGGAGCAAAACATCTTTGGTTAGCATACCCCACGCCTCACTTTCTTGATGATCATCTTTATTTCATCTACTTGTGAAGCATCGTATGTCCCGGTAACACCGACATCTTTGGGAAAGGAACCCATCGTTATTACCCCATGTTGCCTGCCCCAAGAGGATTGTGAGCACGACTTTGCCTGCTGAAGTTTAGATACATGGCTACTTTGGAAGTGGTAAATTAACAGGGTTTCATTATTTTGACTGGGCTTCGGTATCTGGAGCATAGCGATGTGCCCATTCTACATCTTGCGTAATTTGTTTGCTGTGAAATTCATCCCGGTTTTTCTGACATGATCAAATGATTCCGAGAACTTGTGACTCTTCCTTCTGGAAAAGTATGGGCAACTGGGGAACCCTTAGAAATGACACCCTTCGCAAGCTTAGATGATCATGGCTAATCTTTTCCAATGATCGCGCACGACATTTGGGCTATTTGGCGAACAATTCGGTTACGAAACCTAAGTACGGCGGTCTCCACTTGATGAATGTTGTCCTGATCAGTAGCAGAAGGAGGCGGCGACCGGGAATGGAAGCTGCCTCCACACAAGTTCTACTACATTTAAACAGGCGGTATCAGTTTCTCACGATGTCATTTGATGGTTCATTATGGCCATACGTTTCTTTCATTTCGTCATATGTTTAACACTTCATAACTATACTGTATTCAACGGGCTTAATGCTGCACTCCTTCTTCACCTCAGAATCTTTAAAAAGAAAACAACTATCAGTAGTTTCAGTTTGAAAAAATACTGATATATATATATATATATATATATATATATATATATATATATATACGATAACTTTGTTGCGTTTGTAGCATTTTTAACTAACTTGTGGACATTTTTTTCTTATCGCGGATCCGTTGCTAACCAACTTACTTCATATGCTGATTTAGCGAGGAGTTATGCTACGGTAGCTGTATGCATTATTGGATTTGTTTTATTTCATCTTGTCGTTTCAGGTGATTGGCTGTTGCTTGATGTCCCCGTTGTGGCTGCGCTTGATGTGCATGTTGACAAGGTGCCTACCTGTCTATTACCCACTACCTCGTTCATACTGGCTCCAGGAGACAGTTGGTCGTTGCTGGAGTGGACGGGGTGCACGTTCCTTGTGGACGTGTTAGGATCAAAGAGTGGTTCTATGCACTCAGTGTGGCGCTGACTACGGTCTAGCCACCGCCTTGTGTGCGGTTAATTTCCCAAATACAGCGTGCTTGTGTTTGTCCGTGAAGGAATGTGGGCCGGCTCCGTTGATGGGATGTGGCTCCCATCCACATGCCTCCCGGTCTTATTCCTTCGCGTTTACACTGGATATGGGGTGTGGATATGGAGCTGTGAGTGGTGCAGCGCAAGCCATCCATGGTCCCTCTGTAGGCGCAGGCGTCCTGTGGCTAGCCACGGTGACAGGCAAATCCGAAACCGGATGCCGCCAACCATATATATATATATATATATATATATATATATATATACCGACAAACAGTTCACGGCCCCATAAGTGGGAACGATCTTTTGTATAGTGAATAGGTTTCATGGTTTATGCGGCGTAAATCATAACAGTAAAGAAAATTTTATTAACAGAATTTCGGATCATTATCTTTTTCCTCGGGTCCTAGACCTGTGCATTTAATATGTAAAATTTACGTATGTTTTTATCATCATTTCCTAGTTTGTGGTGCTCAGGAGTAGGTAATAAAAGGGAGGGGATAATAGGCTGCATAGACACAGGATTTGGTATTGTATGTTATGTCATGTAGTGGGTATGCTAGTTGTAAGCGAATATCTGCTCATATCTTTCTTATACCAACTTATCTTTCTTATCTTATCTTTCTTATACCAGCTTCCGTCAATCTTTCTAGAGTTTGTTGTGAGTCAAATATCTTCAACACATTTGGTATACTGAGTACAAGGGAATTTCGAAATGTAACATAGCTTGTACTCATGCGTATCTGTAGGGGTAGTTTGTTCCACAGATCAGTGTACCTCACTAAGAAGAAATTCGATCAAGTTTTATGACTTGAAAGCTTTGTGCGTATCAAGTAGCCGCCATTACGTGTGAGTTAGACCGCAGTCCTCCGTAGTTCAAGTGCGGTGCTGTCTGCGTTAATTCGTTGGTTTATAATGTTGTAGAAGAGAACGAGGTTGTCCTTTAAGCGTCTCAGCCAAGGAGGATCCAGTTGGAGTTTTCGACAGCGATCATAAGTCAGGTTTGAGCAGCGCCCCATGACTAGCTTGGTAAATGATCGTTGGACATTTTCCAGAGCCGCTCTGTCTTTCTTTATTTGGCTGTGAACGAAAGTACAGTATTCCAGAGTCGGTCGTACTATTGTCTTGAATGACTCAAGTTGTGTTTTAGGTAGGGAGAACGTTCTGCTGATATGTCCACATAACTGCCTTGCTTTCGCAACCTGCTAAAACACATGTTCGGAAAAATTGAAAGAGTTGGAGTACCTAATTCCTAAGTCCCGAACTGAATCAGACGTTGGGATCGCGTTTCCTGCAAGTTTGATAGAGCCTTCTGGGATGCGGCATCTGTACTCAACTACTTGATATTTCGTTGTGGAGAACTTCATTAATAAACGCTCACTAGCTATATTTAGTGCGGATAGGTCTTCACCGATGTTTCCCGGGCATATTTGTAGTTGGTCTGGATGAAATGAGTAAACCAGTTTGACATCATCTGCAAACAGAAATTGGTGTCCATGTTTGATCGGGTCGCATATGTTGTTTGCGTAGATTAGGAAAAGTAGTGGTCTGAGCACGCTTCCCTGGAAGATGCCGCGGGTTATTTGTTTCGGTGTAGAATATTGCTGACCGATTTTAACTACCTGAGTTTGACCGTTTAGATATGAGTCGAACCAGTTAAGCAGAGGATCTCCAATTCCATATGACTAGAGCAGACAGCAGTGGTTTGTGCGGCACGCGGTTGAACGCCTTTTGCATGTCCAACAGAATTATACTAATTGCCATTCCTCTGTCAATCATAGTCTTGACGTGATGGAGAAATTGTAGCTGACAGTTAACGCAGGAGCGTTTTGGGGGAAGGCCATGCCGTGAGGGATTAATCAGATCCAGTCTTGTAAGATATTGAACAATGTTCTCCTTGACTATTCGCCCTAGGGCTTTGGAAGCAGCAGATGTTTAATTTATTGGGCGGTATCTTGACACTTGATTTCTCGGGCCACCCTTATGCTTAGGCATTATATTGGATTGCTTCCATTGAGTTGGAAAGCAGCCGGTGGTAAGAGAAAGTATGAAGATGTTTAATAACAATAGAGTGAGGTTTTTTCCTCCGAGTTTTATAACAGTTGGGGAGATGCCATCTGGGCCTGGATAAGTTGATGGTTTTATGACTGCGATGGCACTTTGCGCCTCTCTTAACGTCACAGGGATCTTGCAGTATAGTGCAGTCGTCCATTTTGGAAGTGGAGGATGAAATGACCGAGTGTTGGGGACAAAACAGGAGGCAAAACTAGAGTTGATAGCCTCGCATATACTGGAGATGTCACGCGTTATTGTACCATCGTCTGGAGCCAACGTTTCAATTTCCTGACGGGTGTAGGGTTCCTTCTTTTGAGTAGTTGCATGAATGTACGTACTTTCTCAGGATTTCTGAGTACCCGACTTTCTTCTTTGATTTTGGCCGTTTGGGTTAGACGTTGTAAATGTAGTAAATTCTCGTGTATTTGTAGCAATGTTGCGAAGCTGTTGCTCCTTCGATATAGCGATTTGAGTTTCTGTAGTTTGGTTTTGGCTTTGTACATAAGCTTGAGTTCACCACTATGTTCTTGGGTATTTCTCCATACAGTAGGTGCCAGTAGATCCACACCAAGAGCAATATTGTTAATAAACTCATTTGTAGCCACAGTAGGGTTGTGAGTTAGGTATGACGTATTCCAATTCATGGTACTGGTAAGTTCATTAAATGAGTTCCAATCCACATGATGGAGGTTGCGAATGGCTTTTAGCATTTTACTTGATCGTTTAGTTGAATCTATAATCATATCACAAAGCACCGTGTTGTGATCACAACCAGGTAGTTGGTTAATAATGAATATATAAGCGCAAGAAATTCCCATCATGAATACAAGGTCTAAGGTAGTGTCATTTCCGGTTGGCTCTCTAACATGCTGGGTCCAGCCATTGAGGTGAATACGTGAGATGATTCCCTCAATCTCCGCAGTGTTTCTGAGTGTAGGCAGCATCCTATTAACATGTGGTAGGTTGAAATCTCCACACATAATTTTGGATTTGTATGTGGTGCTTGAAGCAACATTGATCATATCGATTAGCTTTTGGATTTCACATTGAGTAGTTCGAGGCGGCCGATAGATACAACCCACTAGATAGGATCACTAGCCATAGTGTATCTCCTAAGTCAGTGAACACAGGTTGATCTGCGGGAATTGCAGTCAGGTTATTTCGAAGATATATGGCACAGCCACCACCACGTTTGTGTGAGTGATCCTTGCAGAAAAGTTTATAACCTAAGATGTTAGTCTGAGAATCACTAGTTTCTAATGTGCACCAAGTTTCAGTGACAAAAGCAATCTCGGGGGATCTCATAAACCAAAGTGTTGAAAGTAGATCTAATTTAGGTAAAAGGGAATGAATGTTAATGACGACAGATTTGAGAGATATTGTCAAATTAGTATGAAAGTGGTGGGTAATGTTTGTTTCTTCGTCATTGTACCTAAGTAGTGTGTTGTGAGGTAGCTGAGACACACTGAGCTCTACATTGTGCTGGATTGAATGAAGTACATACTCCAGTAGTTTGATTATTCTCTGATTCATACTCGCACGTGATAGGGGCTGGAATTGGTGGGGGAGGAAGTGGTGGTATACGATAGTCTAAAAAAGGACTTACATCGGTAGTATACAGGGGTGGGGATGCTGAAGTCTACAAAATAATTTTTCTTCGAATTGTATTGTTGCCAACTGAGTAATACAGGGGGTGGTGGTGGGTGAATTTTGACTTGAGGTAGATAGGAGTTGCACCCTGTTACCTCTAAGTCCGTGTGGCCTATCACCATTTTGTTTGCTATTTCGGTGTCGCACACAGAAAGGCTTTGCCAGCTTGAGGTCGCAGGATTTGGATTTATTTATGTTCACGTGCCCACTTTAAACTCTTCACGAGTACTGGAAGTTGGTCAGGAAAACCGAGCTACCTAGGCAGGCACAAAGCACTTGCTTACCATCGGGCACCGAGTTAATCCTGATGAATCATTCACTGTCCTACTGTGCGATCGGCGCCCTCACATGCTTGGGCTATTGGAGGCCGGCATTATCGATCGCAAGCGACCGCTGCTGTGCATTCAAACACAGCTGACTGTGACTTTGAACCTACCCTGGTAGCGCATATGCGGAGCTATTTAGGATCTGTTTGACATTGTTTATTGTTCATTTACATATCATGGTTGCATGTTTTTGTGATTGATAAGAATGCACGCAAAGGCGATGTCATCTCACAATCTACATTTTCTGATTTTCCTGTTTCTATGGAAATCTTTATTGAACGACACACGTAGTTGTTTAAATGAACTGCATTGACTGTGAGGATTCACCCATGGAGCTGCGATTTTTCCTTACATCGTTTGCACAATTATTCTTATTACTATCGTTATTTGAAATCGCAGTGTTAATACGCGTTGATTTGCAGGTTCTTTTTCCAATGCTTTTCAACTTATTCCCTCCCCCTCGCTTTCAGTGCTGGTGTGGGTCGCACTGGAACGTACATTTGCATTGAGAGCCTCATTCGTCAACTGCAAGCAGAGCAGGTTGTCACAATTCGCAGTCTCCTGGAACACATTCGGCAGCAGCGCATGAAGCTGGTCCAAACGGAGGTGCGTTCTTTCATTTCTCGTTCGAATTTGTCCATTCCACCTGTATACCAGATTGATTTCTTCTTTTATCGATCGGAATTATTTTACAACGTGCTGCTTTTTCACAGGACGGTTTGTTATCTTACGCACTTCGTGCCTATCACCCCACTACTGCTTTTGGCGAGGGCATTGATCCGAGTGATCCCCCTTTATGGAGGCCCATTTTACTTACTACACATACATTGATCAGACCACCCAGTTGGAATGCACCTCGCATCGCCGAGAAATATACCTATTATTATTATTACTACTACTATTATTATTATACAGACTTACGTTTACTGTTTTCCGTGAAAAACAGGTTGTAAGTCTCAGAATCGCTCGCTTGTATCTACAACCTCGAATGCGTTCAATGTGAGAATCGCTATTATCACTTCTGCCTTTGATTTTGCATAGGGGTTGTCGCGAAGAAATAAGTTAGTTTTCTTGTGATTTCAACCTAGGACATATCCGCTGGTCATGCAACCACCGTCATCTTTGCGCGCAAGTTCTCTTCTATTAGAGCGAGATGCTGAACCCAATAGGTTTTACCAGTCCAACCAGATTGGTCACTGTGGTGCACATACCCAACAAAGCCCAAGATCTTGGAATCTCTCCCTAGCAGGGACCAAAAAGTGATACGACTCAGTTTCCACATTAGAATGAGCTCTAAACTTGCTTCTACGTTGCTGTGTGCAGTCCACAAAGTACATTTGGAATACTTTCAACAGTTAGTCCAGTCTTCTGAGTTGGATGTGGTATTCTTCTTTACCAGTGTATACACTACTGTGGAGCAGTTCTATCATTAGATGCATGGCGCTATAGGCTTCCTTGCTCCACAATATGAACGTGTCGCTCATGTCCCCAAACACTTGAACACTTAGTCAGCCAGAAAACTATCTGCTTGATTCCACAAAACAAATGACTTTCCGTTATCTTGCAAGTGCCCGAATTTGTCAAACTTGCGCATGTAGGTGGCGAAAATAGGTGGAACTGATAGCCCTTCGAACAAGCAGCAAAGCGAGGGAGCTTGTCAAAATACTGCGTTGTAGAACCGGTGACCACTGTCCTTTTATTACTAAAATCATCTACGCTGATGTTCACTTTGTTCATGGTCATGCTGTTACTTGTAGAATATGCAATAACTTTTTCGCCACTTCCATTAGTCTCGAATATGACTATGTACCTGCATACACAGTGTTTCTATTGACATACGTCTTAAGCAAAATTGATATTTTGCTCAATGGTATCCACCAAATTATTTAGTCAGTCAGTTGATCCTCCAAGCTGACTTCTCATGGCATTCTTACATCCACCATTAACTTGGGGGAGCCTTACATACCACTTATTCTGATAAGCATATTCACCCTATCGTTGGAACCTAGCCACTTTCCAGATAAATGGAAAACGCCGTTTTTCATGCCTCGGTATAAGTGATGTCCCAGACAAGTTTGAGAACTACTGACCAACCCACCACACTCTAATGATCGCTTGGTTATTAAAAAAAACCGCTCATAAAGCGCGTAATAAACTCTATTAATTCTTTTGGCCCGGCAAATAAACCGCAGTATTGTTTTCTGAACAAACGATCGTTCACCACCTGACTATTGCATTGTCTGACCTACATTTCAGGATACGTCGATTCCGGCTATTCTGTGGTGATCCTGTCTCTGAACTTACATCACGAATTCAACTGGGTACCTCATAAGCGGTTGTTAAAAATCTTTGAGGACTTTGGGATCCGATACCCATTACCTGAATGGTAGTCACTTAAGGTGACAATCCTTCTCCACTGCCTATCTATAATGGAACGTGCTCAGTCCTTCGCTGTTCAGGCTCTACATCAATGACATCACCAGTCTGTAAACGATGAACGGCCATTTTCATTCGCTGACGATAGTAAGATGGTCTGTAAGCATCGGTGTAGCGATTTTCACCGAACGCTTGCTCATTCAACATGACTTATATTCGCTTAAGGCATGGTGCCACATGTGGATGATGAACTTTTCCGATGAAAGGTCAAGCATCTTGTCTTGCGGCTGTTCCCTCCCCGAAGGATCTATTGTACTTAACAATGAATTTATTTCTATACAGCTATCTACGCGCGATCTTGGAATTTAGTATTCATCCACCTTCAACATCTCCGAACAGGCTCGACACCATGTAGCGCGTGCCAGACGATCTGTGATTAATATATTCAACAAAATTCACACAATCCATGCTCGAGTTGGGCTTCTTAAGCTACTCAATTGCCCCATCCTTGAGCACTTTAGCATAATATAAGGCAACACAAAAAATACCACGTAATTTCTCTGAAACACCTACAGAAGTCTTTTACTAATCACCTGTTATGTATTATCGTCCGTTCGCGTTCACTGTGCCCCTGTGGTCTCAGTCACCGACACGCAACGGTAGGGCCGCGGGTCTACACCATTTCCCGGCTAAGTTGTCCTCTTGGGCAGCAGAAATAATCTGAGGGGCATTCAACATGAGTCTACTCAACTAATTTGTTCCGTGCGTAGGATCTAAAGCGTCCCACCTGCACCATTATGACTTAGTGCGTCTGAGGTCCAATTGGCTGAAGGCGACGGGCTATACACGCACACCTACACAGCTGCACAAATGACTGGCGTACGCACGGAACAAATTAATTGCGTAGACTCATGTTGAATGCCCCCTCAGATTATTTCTGTTGCCCAAGAGGGCAACTTGGCCGGGAAATGGTATAGTTAAGCAAGGCGCACAGATGGCATGCGCACTGCCACCTTTTCCCGGAAGGGGATGAATCAGTCCTCCGGCGCTTAATGGACGTTCTCGCACATGTTAGCATTTAGGGACAAACGAACTGATCACGTCAAATCGGATGGCGAAGTGTTTTCTGAAGCCGTGCCAGTATTTGTAGTGAAGGACGCGAGATGGACTAACTTAGAATTTGTATATTATTACTATTATTATTATTATTATTATTCAACACGACCAACCTATAGTTGGTGGCGCCACAACCCCTAGCTAACAACAGCAAAAAGGGGGGAAACTGGTAGTCAGTGGAAGGATTCGGAAAGTTTAGAAGCCTAATGTGTTGTGTGGGTGGTGATCACCCCGGTTTCCCCGACCGAGGAAGAGGATTGACTTAAGGGATCACACCTCGAGGCTTTGGTCATAAAGACCTGGTCCGCAAGGCAGCGGGGCGATTCACGAAATCCGTTGACAGCGAGTTAGCTTATTCGCTTTCTTTTTTTTCTGAAAAAGTCCCCAGAGAAGTCTTGGCCAACGAGGTTATTCATCCCCCACCTTTAGGTTACAATTAAATGGTCGGTGACCCTATAGCCAGTTACGTTGACTTTGACAGCCGTACGAGCTCTTATGGTATTTCATGGAGAACCAGATGGTCAACCCAGAACTCCCCAAGCTTTGAGACACGACCGCTGATTTTCCGCGACTGCTTATTCATCTCACCTCCAACGCAAACTCGGAATTTATACCTAACAACAGAATTATTTGGTCACGTAGTACTATCTTGACTTGCACGATGACAAGCGCGGGTGTAACTGTGATGATGATTTGAAGCGTTTCTGGATATCCGCATTTTGAGTTTAGTATCGTTACCGGATTGAATTGTGGCCGATTGGTTTGGACTAACCGACACCTTGCTGCAGCACGCTGCCACCCCATCAATGCCTCTTAAATCGCGTGTGTATTGTACATGTAGCGTGAAATTTACAACGACACAGCGGGGCGACCACTGTTATCGTATGGGTCATAGACCTCGCCACTGTGTCCCGAGGACGTTAGGCGATTGATCTTAGTTATCCACAGATACTAGCGCGATATTGCTCATGTCTGATGGCGGAATCGAGTCAGTAAGTTTGTCATCTTGTGTCTGACATACGCTCTGTTACTTCACTGGGTTACCGTTGAAATAGAACCGCCTCCACTGGCTTTACGTGTGCTTCGCGTACGCGCAAGTTGGCTGCCTCGGCATATATATATATATATATATATATATATATATATATATATATATAAGATCGGATTCATTTGAGTGAAATCGTGAGGCGATCGGTCGATGCCATGGCAAAGGAACACGAACGGTCTCATTGAATAGTTAGGCAAAATCCACGCAGATTGTCTTGTTGTATCAGACCCCGATGGTTAAACAGCGTGTCAGATCTGGCTCAGTCACACAAGCGATGCTCTCGCAATCGTCCCGTTATTTCACATGTCAACCGTTTCATCGGACGCTGTTGTTTCTTACAAGCTTCTCCTGAATTCCGAGTAGCCATGGTATTTAATCGGTGTGATTGAAGGCGACTGGATCCACCACACCCCGATATTTGTGGATCATAGTTGATATGCTGAGCCGAATTAAAGGAGGTTATGTGCTGTATGATATTTGTGGCCAGTATCCGCTTAGTTTAAGTAACGACTCCCTCATTAACCCCACACACAACAGCACTCTCTCTTTGAGTGGTGTGAACAAACAAATTATTTCTCCATATTCAGTCATGAAAGAACGTAGCCTGTCCTGGAAGCGGCGGACCTGCGTCGAAATTATTTTCAAGTGTATCGGTCAGGAGTAGTTTTGGCTCTGATTCGCCTCACCTGCGTTCGCTAAATGCACTCACCCCATCAACGGTGTACTAAGCTCTTATCTATGCAATGTCCGCTAGACTCAGTTTCATCTCACTTATTGGACCCCTATCCAGTTCTTATTGCTTTTGGACGCAGGTATCGATCACCTTGGGAAACCTAGGACGTGTTCTACTGGATTAACCGAAAACCGTTTGCAAATGCCTATAACCTTCCTTCCTTCATTATTGAGTTATTTTCTCGGGTGGTCGATGCTATAACTGCAAGTGCCGCTGGCAGTCGCGGTCCTTAAGCGACTCATGATGATCTTTTGAAAGCTTTGTCCGCAATCAACATCATTCACTCGACCATCTAGCTTCTGATTGACCATTGGATTTGCCCTTTACCTTCACAGAGCTCATCAGCATCACTGATTTTCCCGGTTCAGTTATGTGTTTTTTTTAACCTACGGGCCAGTTCTTTCAGCATTTCGATAGAAGCCACAGAGTCGTCTTGGAACTCACTATTTGACGTGTTAAGTTATTGCTTGTGTTACGACATAAGTCATTATCAGCACTCTTTTAAATGACTTCATTTCTAATTCTCTTGTTTGTTATTGGCTCTACAGCCTCATTATTGATTGCGCACCAAAGTCAGTTACTTTTCCATCTTTCTGTTTTCAGCAACAGTACGCTTTCATCCACGATGCGCTGCGGGAGTATGTGTTGTACCCCTCCCACGTTATTCGACCAACTCATTTTGCGGACTGTCTGTCACATCTTCGCGCATTGGACTCTTCCGGGCGATCGAATCTGGAGCGGCAGTATGAGGTTCGTCTGGCATCCTAGGTTTCCTTCACTATCTCCACGCCTTGCTTGTGTTACCTTAGTGCTAAAATGAACCTCACATCTCCTCGCCCCGGGGGTCATTTTCTTATTACCTCATATTCACTCCCATCCTTGATGATACTAGAATTCGTCGTAGAATCAACATGGACTTAAAATGTGGAACTTTTTCCCTTGACTACTGTGTTGCGTAACACATCTTCCATCCCCGGTCCCTTTCGTGTACTCCCTTATCGTCAGTATATTGCGGCAACTCCTGGGAATCCTGTCTCATTTTAACGTCAACTGCGTTCTTTATCGTACTTCCCTGCTTACCGGAAGCAGCATGACGGACACGCTGCGGTCACAGCCACCCGAATAGAGCTTTCAATCAGTGCAGACTACGGTGGTCCAGGGTGTCGTTCTCCATAACAAATTCTTTGTCCGTAAAGTCCGACACCTTGTCCTTTGCCAAGTGGCTTCTTCCATTCTCGGTATTCTTGTTCGACCACACCTCGCATTTTTCACTAGCATATGTGATAGTAGACATTCGCATCGGGTTTCAACGACACACTTAACAGTATGTGCAAGGAACTACTCTCTGCCCTACGCCAGCGTTCACTCCCATGAATATGTTTGGTTGGATACATTAGCCGATATGGTGAAGAGACGACCCCAATGGCGTTTGTGTTGTGAGTCTCTTTGTCTCTCCCCTTCAGTTTCCCTCTCCAACAACGGTCAAAATTTTGCTAGTAGCGTTATATTACTTATAGCTTTTAAGTCTACATTTCTTAGTGTCTTACGTTTTTGTATTGCGGCACAGCCTAGGTGTGTTTCTCACCCTCGGCTAACGTGTATTGATGATTGTGATGAGCGCTCAACAACGGGAAACCATTGCACTTGCATTAGTCCATTAGTTCTTACATTGCTTTCGCTCACTTTTTACATACTCATATGTACTTTGTCGTTCGGTCTATTTGCACCTTCACCCCATGCATTTGCCACCATTATAAGTGCTCACATAGCCACTCTTAGAGAATCGAAGCAGGTCGGGCAAAACCACTCGCATGTTGCATACCGAGTAGAATCGATTGTGGGTTACTGAAGCCCAGCTTCATGCGCGTCTCGGATTAACTCTTGTGGTAGAGGTGCAAATCGTTTGTCCACCAATGTTGTCTCACACTCGTCGGGGCAACCGCTAGGTGCTAGCCTGCCAAAACTTGTTGTTGACCTTGGTCACAGCCCGGTTACCTAGTACTTCTGAAATACTTTAAACTGCAGATGTGCTGAATTTGCTGCCCATTGTTCTCTCGGTCAGGTTGTCCGAGTGAATGCAAGTTGGGAATCCACGAACAAAGTACCTTTCTCTAGATGTACATCTGAAATACGTCATCGACCAACGGAATTCCGTAATCACTCTTTCTCCCTTTCTCCACTCTTCAATTATTGCTCCTATGGTGATCTGTGATAAGTCACATTCAAGGTTGAAGTTTACCGCACTGGTTGAAGCAACTTGTGTTTCCTATTTGTAGTTCGCTTCTGTATTAGAACGCTTCATTGGTGTAACCAACGGATTCACTTGGGGCTCCGGCAACTCGCAAAACTCCCGGGTCAAGCCAAAACAAGGCCCAAAGTTAACTCTGGTACTGTCCAGATAGATATTAGAATGTAATGCGGACCTACTTCAGCAGTACCCACTCGGTTCTGAAACACCTGGGCTTCTGCAAGGAAAACAATGACAACAGGAAAGTGCAAGTCATCGTACTTGCGACTGTACTACCAAATCACAAAACCCAGAGTCTGCGAGTTGAATCCCACAGCTCTTTTCATGGGTCCCATGGCTCTGCCCAAGCGGTTCGCTGTACCTCACATAGCGGAATACAATGCGTTAGTTTCGTACGGTGTTTTCCAGAGGGTGCTAACGTGTCACTGGGCAAGTGTGTGGCGGTGTGAAGGAAACCATTTGCGGTTGCGACCCCTGGGGTGAGGATAAACCAATGACGTACATGTGTGTGTGGAATCGAGTAGTTGTGACAGCGGTGCTTGGAATAAAACCACACGGCCATCGCATAAGACACAGAAGGGTTGACCAATAGGGGTGCTAGGCTGCAGATAACACCGGTGTCATTTGTGGTCATGCATGGCAATATTACAATATCTAACCTGTACCGTCTGCAATTTGCATCCCCTCTCTAACTTACGGACGCTTCCCTCCAATTAAATTTTCCTTATATTTCCAGATCGCACCTATACCTCTCTAGTGTTGTAATGTCTACCTAAGATTGGAGTTTATGCAAATCGCGCTTGTGGCCGCACAGAATTGGAGATTCGTTGTTAGGTTCCGGATACTTGCGTATTGCTCTTACTAATGCATAATTGGATACGCCACACCGTGCTTCATGCTTTTGATATATATATATATATATATATATATATATATATATATATATTGATATGGTCGCACCAGATAGACTTAATCGCGATGGTTCACACCGACTCCTAAATGAGAGGCCAAGGTATTGAGAGAACACGCGACACTGGCGAGTAGTATGTGTATTGAGTACACAAACCCCCAAGGGCCAAAAATGCCAATAGCACAAACTAAGCGGGTTCCGTGTTCGGGTTGCAAGTACAAGTTCGAACACACTTCTTTGGCACAATCTGGCTTCGACTATCCAAACCCCTGGGTCTTATTCGGGTTAGGTTTTCATTCTAACCCTAACATCTCCCTCCTTGAAGATGTCAATCGTAAGAACGCTTCCAAGGGTTTACCTGCAAACGTGTCGTAGTTTTGCGAGCGCGGTCTACCCGACGCCTTTTTTGGGTAGTCTCTGGTGGAGACTTCGGTGCCTCTGAGTTATATATAAACCGTGGAATGTTAAATGTGTCAATTAGCATGTCAAGAGGCAGGCTGTGACTCTCTTCATCGGGTGTGCACCTAGTTGGTCGCAGCTGGTTCACATGACGAATCCATAATTGTGATCCAACTCGCACCTCGTAAATAACTTTACCCCGCCTACCAGTGACCATTCCTTTTGTCCAATTTGGATGACCATTGCGATAGTCGCGTACGAGGACTAGTTGACCATGGGTGCACGCACGTTGTCTTGTCCCTCGATGTTTACATGACTGTTGTCCCATAGTAGATTTCTGTTCCTTAGCCGTAACTTCTATTGTGGGTCGAAGGGCATCAAATGGAGTTCGTAGCTTACGATTCATCAAGGCCTCGGGCGGAGAAAATCCGTTCGGCGTTTGGGCGTTCGGTGTGACCCGATATAAAAACAAAAATCGTTCAAGGATTTCCTGTATCGTTCCCTCCCCTGCTGATTTCAAGAGGGCGCGCTTAAAAGTGTCCACGAAACGTTCTGCTTGGCCGTTGGATTGTGGGTGAAACGGCAGTGTTCTGATGTGATTTACTGCACAATATTTGCAAAGGTTGGAGAAACATGCTGAAGTGAATTGTGTACCATTATCACTCACCAGGGTTTTTGGGTAGCCAAACCGGCTGAATAACTGTCTTAATTTCGAAACAGTGCTTCATGCACATCAATACGCCAACCTTCGAGGTTACTTGTGCGTTATTCCTCGTAGCTGTTGCGTTTGCTACCCTATATGGGAACAGCCTTGAACCATCGCGAAATAAAAGATTTATTTTTATGCTACTGGTTCGATGGGAAGAATGAAATCTGGCATTACTTCTGATTGCCACCCTGGTGGAGATTCTCTTGGCCGCTCACCAATTCCTCTTGGGGTATATCTGAATGGCGAAGAAGAAAAAGATACTACCACTGCCGTAATTGTCACGAGCGGTGTCACCTCACCTATCCATTAGATCTGATTTCATCTAACAACTTTGGCTTTGACAATCCATCTCTTTTCAGCCCACACTTTACAGGTAGTTTGACATGTAGATAGAATATAAAATGTATTCTCCCAAAATACGTTTATCCTTTTCTTACTTTACTACATTGACCTGCGGTATTTCTTTGTGTGTAGCTTTGCGTGGAATCGGTCCCGGATCCTCCCGACATGTCACGCTCCAAAACTCTCGTCGGCAATGATCGTAGAGGCTCCAGTTCCTTATACGGTAAGCGTTCATGTCCATATCATTTCTCCACTCTTTTCGCTCACGTTGCACCCACCTTCTGTCTTCTATCTGCATGTGCATTATTTCAGGCACCGCTGATGTGTGGGACATCAATTCGTCCTGCTTACACGGCTATCATATGCTGTCAGAGTACATCGTGGCACGTCACCCGTCGGCTGGTGCGGAGGCGGAATTCTGGAAAATGGTTTGGGACGAGAATTCCTCTATCATCGTGTGCCTCTCCGATCCTGAGCTGCCGCCGTTCTGGCCTTCCGGCTCTAATGAGGTATGCACTGCACATGTGCCTATAAGTCTCGCATTGATGCAATCTGTCTCCTTCTGTGTATTAAGGATATGGTCCCGGCTCCGTCTCTATGAATTATTAGTACACACTGCTGCGATGCAGCTGTGCAACAGCAGTCCACATGGCGCCACAACTACCCTTCTAATTCTTACCAATGGAACTAGAACAAACGCCTATCGCTTCTCTCAGATAATGTTTTGCTACCTTGCGATTCACGGAATACTGCTAGTGCGTGACTAAACGGAAGTCAACAGTTTGGTGGTGACCAAGCTGGAGCTGATCCTCTGGTGATTGACACATATGGTGCGTGTTTCTTTCTTGAGAACCCGAATCCCAAACTGAGCGAAATTATTTCTCCTTCCCCATATTGTTAGATAAATCGCTCAAATGTTTTGTTACCAATGTACAACTAATACTGCCATCGCAGTTGGACATTACCGTTGTACGATGGTTAGCGTACCCCCGTGACCCATTGAGCTCTGTTGGTTGGTGTTTTGCACCTTCAGAGCCACCCATACCAGATTGATCAATGGTTAGACTTCAGATAAACTCGTTCACCTAGTCCTCCAGGTTGGGGTCGGAGAGAGGGTGGCTCTTTACTCTATAACACGGACTCTCTGTAGTCCAGTGCCAAAATCCCGCTACCTTGCGGTTAGGTTTTTGTGAACCTTACTCGTTCTCCTCTCAACCTGATAGTATCCTGCCCACGCAATACATTGACTTTCCATTCAATCAGTCTCTTGATCCTCTGGTCATCGCAGAGGATAACCAGCGACACCGTAGCTGCTGCATCGAGCAGGGAGGATAGGGGTTTTAATACTACGGTTCAGGCCTTCCCCTCTTCTTACTCCCCTTGCGCTTTTTCCTTTTTGTCGTCCCGTTCCAACCACTTTTATCCCCTATGTTTACAATCCCTCCCAATTCTTGACCATTCCTATCTTGTTTTGATAAACGCTTGTGTTCTAGTTTCATTTCACATACAGTGTTGGCCAAATTGTTAGAAATTTGTTTAATCAGCAACTTTTTTCATCTTTCATCACAAATCTCGTAAGAATCAAATGATGTAACTGTAAAATGGTTATATTTATCAAGAATAACATATATCAAATAGAAAATTATCAAGGTTTTTTATTTCGTAAGTGATCATTTGGCAATTTTCAAGGAGTTAACACGCAAAGGCATGGAGTGAATGATTTTTTTTGCAAAGTTCATTCATGATTTCACTGCGAGCCCAGGTCACTACAATTTGTTCAATGAGCAGTTGCTTGTTTGTGATAATCTTTTTCTTCATCTCTGACTTTAGCATTGCCCATCAATTCTCTATTGGGTTCATGTCAGGGATATTATCTATACCACAAGCTTCAAGAAAATGGGTGACTTCACGCCCCTTGTGACATGGAGCACTGTCATGCATGAAAATGAGGTATCCTGTCCCTGTAAATGCTTTTTCCTTTGACCATTCACACAGCTGAGGGATCACTTGGTGCTCCAGTAGTTCTTTATACTGCTGCTGGTTCATGTTACCCTTTACGATGGCGAGCCGACCAGTTCCGTAGATGCTCATAGAGCTCCATATCATGACCTGAATGGGATGTTTGACTCGTTGAATGATGCAGTCCCCCCTCATCTGTTCGCCAGTTAGTCGGCGGACATATAGAGATTGCTGGTCAGAGCACCGGATGATGCATTCATCGTCGTGGTCGAGCCGGGTTTCGTCGTGGTCGTGGCTGCATTGACCACATCTTCACTTTGCGTCAGTTGTTGGAGCACCGCCACACATATTGGCGGCCCACCGTAGTCGTGTTCCTCGACATCAAAGGTGCCTTCGATTCGGTTGATCGATGTGCCCTTTGGAATTGTCTACTCAGGAATGGTGTGCCCGAGAAATATGTAAATATTATCTAAGCATTATATGCGCATAGCACGGGCAGAGTGAGGGCTTACGGCAAGCTGTCACCACCCTTTAATATCTCCAGCGGTGTGAGACAAGGATGCCCGCTGTCACCTTTCCTTTCAACTTCGCTATTGACGAAGTCATGGAGTTTGCATTTACAGGACATGACTTGGAAGGTGTGGAGCTACTCCCAGGAGAACGACTTCTTGACTTGGAGTATGCTGACGACATTGCCCTCATCTGTGACAGCTCCCAGACGTGCCAAGCCGCGCTAGACAGATTAGCACTGGCTGTCAGCCGCTTCGGGCTTTGCTTTGCACCATCGAAGTGCAAAGCGCTCCTCCAAGATTGGTCTGGACCGCCTCCTTCGCTGACCCTTGGTGGGGATCAGCTAGAAGTCGTTCAGAAATTCAATTACCTTGGAAGTTGTATCAGCGCCCTTGGGATCGAAGACGAGATCACGAACCGTATAGCGAAAGCTCGAAGTGCTTTTGCTAACCTTCGCCACCTTTGGCGGCGGCGCGACATCACTCTCGCCCTGAAGGGTAGAGTGTACAATGCAGCGGTACGTTCGACCTTACTGTACGGTTGCGAAACCTGGCCCCTAAGATCGGCGGACATGAAGAGGCTAGTTACGATTGACCATCGGTGCCTTCGCAGTTTGGCTCACATATGGTGGGAACACCGCGTGAGTAACGAGCATGTTCGACGCATTGTTTACGGCCCAGGAAAAGGATCTGAACCGCTCAGCACCGTTATTTCCCGCACCAGGCTCCGATGGCTCGGCCACGTGTTACGCATGCCAACCCACCGACTCCCTCGACGTGCGTTGTTTGCTCACCGGGGATGTGGGTGGAAGAAGAGGAGAGGTGGCCAAGCGATGACTTGGTCCAGGGGAATGAAGTCCCTCACCTCGGAGCTAGCCTCGGTTGGAGCTTCACGGCTCCCTGGTTGGGGTCCAAAAGACGGTGAACACGTTTGGCTGGATACACTTGCTGACATGGCAAGGAGCCGACCTCAGTGCCGTTCATGCTGTGAGTTTCTTTGTCCCTCCCCATCCCTTTTAGCCTCCCCATCCATCTACGATCTCATTTCCTAGGGTAAAACATAATATTTTTTTCTTTTTGCCTAGTAGCTAGCTGGAAGCTTACCGGAACGATGCCTATCCGTTGCTGGTAGCTCAGCTGGCATGCAACTGTTGTATCTACTTCTCCTTTGTGTATTGTATTGTATCTATGTATGTATTTCCTTCATGTATTGCGGCACAATAGCGGAGGTGTTTTTCCCACCTCTAGCTGATGTGTATAATGATGATGATGACACAAAATGAAACACAGAAAAACGCAGAAAACACAGCAAAAGTAATGTGGACAATTTTTCCGGAAAATCTTTCTGAAACTAAAACTTCCGCTTCTTTCCCGCTCCCAGTCTTCTTTGGACCATTTTTGAAGCTGTTTGGCCCATTCCTGTCGTTTTTCTTTCATTTGTTTGGTCAACTTTTGCTTCTTCAGTGGCCTGCAAGCTCGAAGTCCAGAATCCAAAAGTCGTCTTCTTACAATTCTCTAACTGCAACACCATGCTGTTCCAACATCCCTTGTAGCTGTCTGCTAGATGCTTTGCGATTCTTTTGCATTCCCTTAGTAGAAATGAGTCGTCTCGAGCTGTTGTTCCTCTTCTGCGACCACATTTACCGGAAGGTTTAGGGGACAAGGGTAAATTCTTCTGCAATTTCTTTCGAAGTCGACATACAGACGCTGGGCTGACACCAATCTTGGTTGCCATTTCTGCTCCTTTAACATCTTTCGCCAAAATTTCAGTTTGTGCACACTTTCGAGGGGTGATGTCACGTAATTTACCCATTAATATGCCAACACCATCTAAAAACTGGCGATCAATACGGTTGTATCGTTACTTGAGAAGACACCTTGAAACATAACAATGCAAGTAATTAAACATACCTATAAATTGATCCAAAACCAGGCAGATGTAATCCTGAAATGTAGATTACAGCTGTAAATAACGAAGTATGCTAAAATGTAACCGTTCGTTTAGGTAACTACTGTACGCGTCACATCAACCAATCTGTCATCATTTACAAAAAATCTCATATACTATGCCTTTGCGTGTTAACACTTTGAGAATTGCCAAACTATCATTTACGAAAAACTAACCTTGATGATTTTCTATTCGATATATGTTATTCTTGGTAAATATAACCATTTTTCAGTTACATCATTTGATTCTTACGAGATATGTGATGCAAGAGGTAAGAAGTTGCTGATTGAAAAAAGATTTCTAATAATTTGGCCAATACTGTACAAACGCGGAGCGGCACTCCTGTCTTGTCGACAAGCCCAGTCATGCCCAGTTTATCGGCTTCTATTTGGAGTCCTTGATCCGCCCTCAGATTGACATGCCTCAACGTACGCACATTATCACAGATCGGTCAATAGGCAGAATTTGCCCGAACATTAGAGACCCCCTCGATCGCTGCTGCTTATCAGAAACATGCCTGCAAGACTCGAGTTCTGTGCTTGCTTTTCGGTCCTCTTCAGGTGACACAAACGGTTCTTTCTCATTACGTTTATCCGGAGACGATGCAGCTTCAACTGACAGCCAAACCGGTGTTGGTATTGTCCTGAGTCTCCAGGCTGAAGTTGCTCTGGTTGGTTGCATCCCAATCAGTAGCCAGGTGTGTGTGACCCGATTGGCTAGCTCGTTCAAAGCTTCGAAGCTGCGCAGGACTAATAGGTGTCTCACATCGCTGCCTACACTCCCACAAACTGTAACGCTGACGCGACGAAAGACGACTTCTGTTGTCGACTGAACGAGCTCCTTCGCCACAGAAGAAGCACGGACACTATAATGCTGGCTGTGGATCTGAACGCTCAAGTTGGAAATTTGTCAACTGGGCGGCCATCATGGTGTAGATGAGTGGTTAATTCATTTGTGTGAGTATGCTCCCCTATTTCTTGCGGGCACTAATTTCCGACACAGCACCCACCGGAGGGTGACATGCCATTCACGAGCCATAGACGCAAGTTGATCACATTGCGATCAGTTACCGCCAGAGAGGCTGCGTTCAAAA